GCCTATAACCGTCCCCCTAATTAATTGACCAGTCAATGACGAGAAGCAAGAACGTCCGAACATCGTAATGTCACCAACAGAATCCCCTTCAATAATCGAAAATATCAAATCAATGTCAAATAAGTTGACAACGGGCGAAATGACAATTAAAAAACTAAAATGGCCGATCAATGAGAGCGGGAAACGCTCATTAATGGCCCGCTTCCGTTCACCGATCGAGGCGCCGTCGCGGCGACCAATCGATCGTGATCCAATTGAAATTTCGCCATTGAAAAATGTCTTATTAACGATAGGCGAATATAATGACATCCTCCGAAAAAATTGACAGACAGGTGTCCGATTCATTTACTATGGTCAATTAGGTTTAATAATATAGATGACGGAAGTGTATTATTTAGTGTGATGCCACTACCTGTTCCATGGACGGTAAAGGATAACGGATGACGCATGTCCATACTGCGCGGTGGTTTGAAATTAATCCGCTTTACATTAGAATATGACATATTATTATAAGTGTATATGAATGAGACAGAACAGATGATACAGAAGGTATGATATGGAAAGAGATAGCAGTAAATAAAACCGCATCGAGATCCGTTGCATAGCTTTAAAGATCTAAGCATACATAGGGACAGACAGCGGGACGACTATGTTTTATACTATGTTATGATATTATCATTGAGTATGGTGACAAAACATTGATTGTATTTTGCATTCAAAACACATTCACTATTAGCTTTCCAAGATTTACGAATGGTTGCCATTTGACAAAGTATAAGAAACATTTAAATAAAATTTTAACTTTGTTAATGATAAAGTTCAATAAAAATTATTATCTCATCAAACTTTACGCCCGCTCTGTAGGTAATGCTTAACGTCATTATCATCAATTTAGGGAGTTTGTTAAATACAGAAATGAAAAACGCAACAGTCTTCGCTGTTGCACGAATTGTGCAGGTCCGTCTGGTACCATCAGCTCACAGAAGACCGGCGTGAGGTGGAAGTGTTATATTTCTGCGTTTCGTCTTTTGAATGAGGTTGCCGGAGCCCCCTTTATTAAAAAGGTGTGTATCTGCAATCCTACGGGTGTTGCAAATGTCAATGGGCGGCCGTTTTCACTTAGGATCAGGTGACCCGCCTACTCGCTCGCCACCTCCTCCCATAAAATAATACAATAATTTGTACAAAAAAATTATAAAATAATATGTCGGATTTCTGCTGTAATTATATGAATTTAACAAATTTACTTTTTGGTCGTGACTTATGTGGAGTTAGTTGCTACTTATACCGGCGACTTCGCTGTGTTGTTGTACTTTAATCTGATCATTAAGAAGGTCATTCTGATCAATTCAGAGAGTTTAACAATCCCTTTGGCAACTCAAATGACATTTGAAAATCCATTTGACAGCTGATTAGTTGACTTCTACGATGATCAGTGTTTCAGAAACAGAGCGTGAGTCTGACAATACACGAAATAGAAATCGCCTCGAAAGTACGTGCTCGCAACTTTCGTACAACGCATAACCTAAATTAAAAGCACTACGCCGCGCTCGAATCTAGCGGACACCCGAAAGCTTTCGTCGCCGGTCTAATAACTTAAACAAACAACGTCCGAACGGGACATATTTGGCAGCGACGACCTGCACTGAGATACGCGATGGTCGTATCGACCCTCGTTTACATTTAATGCAAACAAGGGTGGACAGACGGATTGAGGCATCCGTAAAACGTTCATACAAAGTATAGCACTGAATGAGGGAACGTATTCAGGTAAGTTTATAAAATGAATCATCGTTCGAGAGAAATAAGTCGCAATAACTACCTTTATATCATTATTATTAGCCAAAGAAGTTTTACTTGTGTTAGTGATATAGATTTTTATCTTTATTAGCTGTTATTTGCGTTTAAAATATTGGAGCTAGCTCGTCCATAGAAGACCAAAAAGCCTAAAAGAATACCGGCGTTAAGTTTCGCGTTTTGTCTGGTGTGTGAAGTAGCCGGGGCTCACATGTTATAAGGTTGTCACCGCATTTGCGAGCCCCCAGCTATTGTAGATATCCAAGCGGCGGTAGTAGCAGTAAACAAAAAAAAATTAAAACACTACCTTTACTTATGACTTTGCCTTCAAACCATAAACAGACGAGTTTTAGACCCCATCGCGACTCCACGGATTATCGGTTTTTTTGTTGTGTGCGCTGATTTTTTTTACACATTTTATTAGACAAAATTCCGTAGTAAATTAATTTGATCTATCGCGTAAGGTTTAGTCAGCGTTTGCTATGTAAGCGCACAAAAATGTTTGTTACTAAATCAAATTACAAATCTTTAAAATTCTCAGCTTTTGTCTACTAAAATATACATGTATACTAACTTACCTTCCACTCGAATCAATCCATCTATTGCTGAAAACTGAATCACAATCCGTTACGTTTAAAACAACTAGGCGTACAAGCAACGGGAACGACATTGTTTTATACTATTTGAAGATTAACATCTAGGCACTGGAAAAACACTATGTTCTTCACACAATATTTTACCAGTAGTGGGGATCGAACCCACACCCTTTGGCGCAAGAGGCGGTTTCAACCCACTACGCCAAATATTCATTTCTTAAATATATACCAGTATTGGTATAGTTAATACCGTTTTTAAGATTAATTTTTACTTTTAGTGCTAGTCTTTGCACTCAAGATGAAACTTTAAATTTTAAATTATTATAGATAAATAAACTTTCAGTGCTTATGGGATTCGATAATAAATACCGGTTCATCCTGATTTATAGGCCAACAGGCCATAGGGAGTAATGAGGTGAAAAGTGAAAGGCACGGCAACTATTCTTAAGGCATTAAAGTTTTTGAGATTTTAAATTTTTGATATTGTTAACAAGTCCATTTTTTTAATAACGAAAAACGAAATCGCCTTCAAATATCTCGCTCTGTATTCATTTCATAATTGATTTTGAGGGGTTCCCTACGTATCTCCGGAGCCCAAGGTCCAATACCAATGAAATTAATATGGGACCACATGGAAAGCACCGGCTTTCAAATAAAAAAAGAATCATGAAAACCGGTTCACTCTGTCGAAAGTTCTGAAGTAACAAACATAAAAATAATGTCGAATTGAGAACCCCCTCCATTTTTGAATTCGGTTGATAATCAAAAACTTTTGTGCTCTGGTTGGTTGGTCCGAAGTATATAGACAAATGTTTCAACGATAGTTATAGACTGGTGACTGACGCGTCGGATTATGGATTAGTCGGGTTTCGAATCCAGTATCATTCTTTTCGGACCTCTTACATTCGTATCCTTTTATATCCGTTGGAGCCGTGATGGCTCAGTGTCCGGGCGGTCGCCTTCAATCCAATATAATCCAGCAACCTGAGTTCGATCCCCGGTACCAATGCTACCAAAATCCCCGGTACCAAAATCGTTAATTTTAAGTGCCGAATTATTATCTCGTGCTCAGCGGTGAAGCAAAACATCGTGAGGGACCCTGCATATTTTCGAAATAATAACAAAAAAAATATTTCGAAGATATGTGAAATCCGCCAATCCGCAGTGGGGCCGCGTGGTGGACTATGCCCGGACACCCTCTGTACGTAGGCCTTCGCCCAGCAGTGGGACATGTATAGGCTAATACTTTACATTCGTATCCAAAGAACGATATGGAGAAAAAATAAGGCTTGACGAAACGAATTAAGAGCATAGTATGGATGTCGAAAAAATATCGATAAATCGATATTTTTTTTCAAATTCGCATCCGGCACAGACTGTTCATTTGACATAATGTTTAACACTGGGTATACTTGTTTTTTTGTGAAAACCCAGGTCAAAAGAGAAAATATCGATATATTTTTATTTCTATATATTTCTTCACTCTCCACATCCCTAGAGCTCAGCAAGAAAATTACTATGATGAATTAATATCGTGATTGCTGCCGATCCGAAACCTACAAATTCATAAACAAGATCCTTGAATTGTGGCAACTTTGCCCAGTTCATTCTGGTACCAATGAACCTATTAGAAACATGGACGCAAAAATGAAACCACGCATAATTTCAGTCACATCAAGTATTTTAATTAATCGCCACGTCGATGGAGCACTTTGTCACGAACACAGAGAAAAATGCTAAAATTGGTTGAGAATATATATTAAAATATAATGCTGATATAACATTAATTGTTATTACGTTGAAGTTAGACGTTCTACTTGCTTTGTAATGGTTTCAAAAATATCCCTTTCAACCTTTCGGTAAGGATTATCACAAATAATATTTGTATTGGTTAATACATGTCTTAATGTCTATACCTAAAATGTACATAAAAAGAGAATCGTTACACCTATAACCCGAACAGCCCAAACTAATTGAAATCTAATGACATTGCATAGTACAACTTATATACCGTTGTAGTATAACAGAAGAAAAAAATTTTCTAAAACTAGCCGATTTCATTTCTTCAAAAGATGATTGATTGTAAATAACATTCATATTAGTAAAGTATTATAGTTAGTATATATCCTGGCAAACCTCATACGTACATACCATGAAATAATTATTACATAAAATTGGATTTACTCAAAGCGGCATAATTCACAGTTGATTTATAGTATTGCGTTCGCTACACATACAAGAAGTAAAGAATATAATAGTTATATTTATTTAAAGAACAAAAAAGAAGCAACGTCAATATATAAATATATGACCTTTGGGAATCGAACCCGCGCCTGTGGCTAAGGTTCCTTTAGATCGTTGGTTGGTGGTTTTTAGGTTGTGGTGGTAGTCTTTGGACTGTTAGTTGGGGGGTTTATAGCAAGTATAGCATGATGGTTTGTAAGGATAGCGGAGTAAGGGGGGAGGGGGAGCGAAGGAGGGGACCGGAGAGGGGGGGGGGGGTTACGAGGGTTCAGTTTGTAAGGATAGCGGGGTGAAGTGGGTGGGGAGGGGTGGGGGGGGGGGGGTGAGGGGGTGGTTTCCGAGGGTGGCTATCTTCGGGCTTCAGTGCGACGAAGAGGAGCGGCGACGGCGCGAGTGGCGGGACCTGTAAGTGCATCTTTATATATATAATTCTTCTGTACGCGTGTATGTCACTGAACTCCTCCTAAACGGCTGGACTGATTTTAATGACATTTTTTTGTGTGTCTTCAATTCGTCGATTCGAGAATGGTTTAGATTCACATTATTTTTTTTAGATTATCAGATTTAAGTCGTGTGTACAGGACAAAGTATATGTATAAATTTCTTTGTTTCTTTGCCTAACATTTAAATGTGATTACGTGATTGCGTGATAGCGTCCGGGCGCGCTGAACGAAATTTAAACAACAAAAATATCAGTAATCTCAGGATTGAAGAGTGGAAGGCGTCATATTTTTGTTAGTCTACTGTACTAGCCGTCATATGTGCTCATGTTGTTTATGTGCCCATGTGTTCCGTGTGTGTATCCGTGTGTGCATGTGTATAAATGAGTGCATGCGTGTGCGTGCACGGACCGCGGACTGTCGCTGCGTTTCCTCTCGGCGGAGCGCTTTCGCTTCGGCCGCTTCTCGTGCTCCTCCTCCGAAGAGGACCCCGACGACGCCTTCTTCTTCTTCACTTCTAGAAGGAGACAAGTCCAAGTTAATTCATTCAAATCATTCATTCAAGTGTTAGAACCTATAAGGAAGGTAAGCATCTGGTTACATTGGGTAGACCTTGGCGTTTCAGACGCCAAACGAAAAGCTAATTTGTTTGAAGTGAAACTTCTAATGCGACTTCCAACAAAGTTGCGTTAAACGTTTAACGCTACCATGGAGGGGGTATGAAAACACTGTTGCGTTAAGCGTTCAACGCTCTTGGGGAGGGGTGTAGTTGTGGTAAGGGTGTGGTATATCACTATTGAGCAGGATATCAAATAATAAAGTCGGTCTGACACTGATACTCACAGTTTGTTGTTCCACAGCACAAATAGTCCACAAATAACAGTTAGAAGGAGAAGGCAACGGAGTTATTTAGATGCGAAGAAACAAGCAGAGAGATAGAGGAAAAGCAAAGCGTAACACAATTAACATAAACGGTTTAAATGCACGTAAGCAACGTTGACAAGCGTCCGTGAGTCAAAGCGACAATCTCTCCGGGCGGTGCGAACTCCGAACTGCGAACTGCGAACTGCGAACTGCGAACTGCGAACGCGCAGCTGGCCGGCAGCCACTGCCCCACAACATTACCATGTATGGTGCGTTCGCGATGGAGCTGCCGGGATCGAACCTTCGAGACTTCGACCAACGGTTAAATGCTGTATAGTGTGTATAGTGTAATGCTTGTGTTATTGTGTTGTGATAAATGTGTGCGTGAATGGTAGTATGTTTGAATGTGTGTTTTGTGAGGCCCCTACAGGGGGAATAGAAAGAGACAGAGCGAGTGAACGCGTGGCATTCGAAGTTTCACTTCTTCCGAGCGGAGGGATTCCACGCACTTTTTATTAATAGTTCACACTTTGAACTGTTTAACACCTTACGCTAAGAGCAAGCCTGGACTACATTCACAAGTTTCGCCGCGATATGGACTCAATATATGAAGACTCAATGGCGCCGTTTCTAAGCTATTGGCCTCGGCGTTAGGGGTCGTGGGTTCGGTTCCCACACGGGACAAATTGTGTGAACCAAAGATAATTGTCCCGTATCTGGGTGTTAGTTTTCAAGGAGGGGTTACTTCAGGCAGGCGGTACTGTTAGAAGGAGAGGCTTGTAATGCGACGCTGTGGCGCCAGTTGCGTAGGATGTTCCAAATTTTATTTCTTTTTTACTAAATTAGTTTGTTTGAAAAATATTTCTTTTTAATTTTGGATTTTGTTTAACGTTAATATTTTTTATGATTATTGGCAAGTAGCGTTAGACGTGTGTTCATTTATTGTCGCGATGGTAACGACACGCTGTATATCATCATGATTGTAGTGTGACGTCGTTCGAGACTCATTTAGACCACATTGGCTGGATGTCTGGAGGCAGCAGTGTTCTGCCATACACAACTGGCAATACCGATAATACAAGTTGCCAGGCCATGCACTAGGAGATATTCGACCACATTTGCCGGATGCACTGTCTGGAGGCAGAACGCTGGTACGCCCGCGACACTGGTTGCACAAGTTGTCAGGGTCCAGACGCGACAAGCCAAGCCACTCACCGGCCGCCTTGGACTCCCTGTCGCGCTGCCTCGACTTGATGAGGCGCACGATCTCCATCAGCTCCTTCCTGGCTTCGTTACGCTCCTCCTCCTGCTGCGAACGACAAGTCCGATAAAAGATCAAGACCATTGGCACGCGCTACTTAAACTGTCGGTAGTATATTATTCTCTTCCGAACGGTCTATTCGGCAATATTTTGACTATCAATAAGTGAATGTAGCGCTCATATGATGATAAAGATTTTTTTAAGTGACAAGTTGCCAAGCGAGCAGTTGGTTCACCTGATGTTAAGTGAATACCGCCGCCCAAGGACATCTGCTACACACGAGGGTTGCAGATGCGTTGTCAACCTTTTGAAAATTGGGCTTAAAGATATTTGAGTTTGATTAAAATTTGTTTATATACATTGCCTTTTTCTCTTGTTCTCTTTTTTGTGAGGAGTTAGCGAACGAGCTGGCGGTTCACCTGATGTTAAGTGATAATCGCCGCCCATGGACATTTGCAACACCCGTAGAATCGCAGATGCCTTGCCACCATTTTATAAAGGCGGCCCGGTTACCTCCCTCACCAGACGACACGTAGAATCGTAACATTTCTACATCACGACGGTCTCCTGTGTGGGTGCGATACTTCCCCGGACGGACTTACCCATTCGTGTAACAGCGAAAACTGTTTCGTGGCCCTAACACAGTTAATATCTAATAATCACAACAGAATTTTTATTGAAATATCTAATAACATCAAAAGGATTCAATGAGTGTAATAGTCTCAGATCATATCCAAATGATTTTAATGTAATGAGCAGTTGGACGTAAAGGTTGCACTTTATTAATTGAACTATCCCTTAATCATTTGGGTTTAGAGCACCATCCACTCCATCATTGTCACCTTTTTCTTTTCTTCATCGCTAGGCTCCACTGCCGCGGCCGGCGGTCTTCCATTTGGAGACCTCGTTCTGCGAGAAACAAGGTCACAGTTGACTATTTGACGATTTCTCGAGAAAGACTATTAGGTTTAATACAAAACATACCCTTCTCTGGCAAAATTCTTTTTGTTCCCTTCATCTCCGTGCCGGTCGCTTCTATCTCTATTCTTCTCATTGTCGCGCGATTTCTCGCGTGTTGATTCTTTCCTATCTCTGTCTCCCTTTCTCGAATCTTTGTCGCCGCGGTCATCCCTGCTTTCCTTTCTATCTTTATCGTCTTTCCTATGTTCTTTCTCCTCTTTATTGGTCGGCCTATCTTCTTTCCTGCTCTCCCTTTCCTCTTTCTTGTCGTCTTTTCTTTTCTCAGACTGCTTGCGGTCATCTCTTTCACTCTTGTGCTTGTCGTGTCTATCCTCTTTGTCCTTCTCTTTGTATCTGTCCTTCTCTTTCTCGCGGCGGTCGTCGTAGCGTTCGTGACGTTCTTCTTTCCTGCACCGTTAGCATAAAACTAATTAGTGGGGGAAGGGCGATTCTTCGAAATAGATCTGACTGCAGTTAATCGAATAAAAATCATAATTAATCATTTTAATTAACCAGAAAGATCATGGGATATACAAAATATACTAAAAGCCTAGATGTAGATGGCTGTTGAGACATTTCGGAAAGCGTTTATTAATCGTAGTGCTCCCACTATACCTATATAGTGACGAATGATTTCCTTTATTATTAAAGTTTGTAGAAAAAATGAACAAAAGAATCTAGCTCTAGTAGCTGCGGGGATCGAACCCACGTCTTCGGGATTCGCGCACATACGCTTTAACCAAAAAGCTAAACGGCCGAGCGCCGGCACGTTAGTTTTTCGCATCTGAAACAACTGTAACGAATCCGTTGGAAGCGGGTTCGATTCCCGCGGCGGGGGAGAACTCCCCGTCCACTTCTTAGCAACTTCTGCGGCCAGGTGACCATGCGGGGGGTCACCTCTGGTCCCTGTGGCGGTGGGCGCGCTGGCTGGCGAAGGTGCTCCTCAGCAGCCGGAAGGGGTCGTAGCCCGCCTCCTCGTGGGCGGGCGTGGGCGCGCCCTGCTGGTGGGCGGCGGGGGGCGACGCCGCCGGAGGGGCGGGCTGCACGCTGGAGGCCGGGCCTTCGCGCCGCCGCGAGCGGGACCTGCCCTCGCGGTAGTCGCGCATGTCCCTGCATGCCCACTCCAGGATATAAGGTAACGGCCGCCCATGGACATTTGCAAAACCCGTAGGATTTCAAATGCGTTGCCGCCTTTAGATAAAGTGGGCCCCGGACGAACGCAGAAGTAACACTTCTACATTACGCCGTCTTCTGTGAGGTTGTGGTACTAATCCGGACGGACCTGCCCATTTGTGTAGCAGCGAACACTGTTGCGTGGCCCTACCACAGTAAAGGTCTTTTACGGATCGCCTGCCACAAACAGACGAATTTGACGACCCCACTGGCACAGTAGTCGGTGCACGTGCCTCTGGCGCCAGAGGGTGGAGGTTCGATTCCCGCTAGCGGAAAAATATTGTGTGACTAAACTACTAAACGCATATAATATGTATAATGTGCGTTTATTTACTAAAAAACAAAAGGCAGAGTAAACAAAGTATGTTTATCAGTTATTTAGTACCTATAGTGCAAGCCTTGCTCAGTTTGGGGCTGGTGTTGTGTAAAAATGTGTCCTAAAATATTTAATTTATTTATGTACAAGATGCAGCAACAATGGTAAATGGGAGTCCCGTTCGGAACGGTTCGGAGCGGTATCAGACTGAGGTCCAACCGAGTTGGTCGAGTCGGAGACACGGGAACGCCCACACTGCTCCTCGTGGTTCGAATGGCCAGGTCCGTCTGGGTAAGTGCCGCGACCTCACTTCTGCGTTTCGTCCGGTGTGTGAGGTAGCCGGGGCCTACGTTATTGAAAGGTAGCAACACATCTGCAACTGTGTTGTAAATGTCCATGGCCGGCTGTTAACACTTAAAATCAGGTGAACTACCAGATCGCTTACACCTTTTCACATAAAAAAAGGAACGCGATTGTAACTCGATTTAATTTTGTTGTTTAAATTTTGATTGCGATTGAATATTCCGACGATACTGGGTTTTGTGTCTATCAAGTCACTCGGCCACTATTTGACCGAACTTCAGACACTTAAAGTTTAGAGTCCAGTGGTAAAGTCAAAAGGAATGGTAGAGTTCAAAGCATCTGTGAATCAGATAAGTTTACAGGTATATTATAGACTTATTGAAATACAGAATCTATTAGGCGTGACAATAATAATAATATTATCTCATAAAGTGCTTTGTAACCTACGATTGCGATGAAGTCACTGTTTGTGTAATCTCAGAAAGGATAGAGTGAGGGATAGCGGTAGTGAGAGTATAGAACGCGGTGTGATGGACATGAGTGAAACATCTATAGGGAGAAACAGAGCTAGGGGGAAACAGAACTAAGGGGAAACAGAGCGAGGGGGGAAGAGAGATAGGGGGGAAGAGAGATAGGGGGGAAGAGATAGGGGGGAAGAGAGATAGGGGAAACATAACGAGGAGGGAAGAGGGCGAAGGGAAAAGAGAGCGAGGGGAAAGAGAGGTGCGATGCTCACCGGTGCTGGTCGTGGCGAGGGTTGACGCCGAGCGCCCTAGCCAGGGCTTCGGCGCGCTGCCGGGGCGAGGCCGCCCGCACCGAGCGCATCTCCCGCGCCCCCGCCGCCCCGCGCACCGCCCCTCCCAGGCCCGCCCCACGCCTCTCTGCGGTCCGTTCATTACTACTTAGCTACCTCCACCAACTTAGCAGTTGGCCAACGAACCTTGGAGGCACTCGGACAAAACAAGTAGATAAAGTGTGGGCCGTTTAAACAATCTGGCCGCGAATACGGAAGACGTGGGTTCGATTCCTGCATCGGCGAGACTTTCAGTCGCAATCAGACAAATGTTTTATGTTTCATCTAGTAAGTGCAGGGACTGTTTAACTGATTCTGTAGTATTATGAAATGTAAAAAAAATAAAGTTTTGTTTTAATATGATTTTTCTTCGAAGGAAGGCTGGTCATGTTACTTTAATTGTTACTTAATATCCAGTTACTATTTTTTTATATTTTTTACTGAATAACTAATGCGTTTGCCATTTAGAGCTAAATGGCCATAGACCTCGTAACATCAGACAATTCCGTAACCAACTCATAAACTTACCATCATGATCGAGGTCCTCTTCAAAGTCCAAAGCATTGTAATCGACCCTCTCGTGACGGGAGCGTTCTGCTAAACGTTACAGTTTTAACGTTTCAAATAGAAATGGAAAGGTGGAACAGACTACTAGCGACAATCGAAAACAAATAATATTTGATAAAGCATTACTGTTTAAAAATTTACACACATAAATCGACCATCGAAAACTAAAATATTTGCTGAGGCTATTAAAAATTTTGAACACATAAATCGTAGTAAACAAAAATAAATAAAGATACTATTTTTAAAATCAATCAAATTCCTCGCCAAAATCCTTAGGGTTGAAGCGGTAATGACAGTTTTCTAAGAATAAAATGTTGACATACCTAGAGTTGTGTCGCACTCGCCTTCTTCTTTCTCCTGCTCGGGAGTACCGGGTTCGTCGTCTATGCGAAAAAAAAGTATGTGTGTACGTATGTACGGAAGTAAGATATTCGTAATGTAAAGATAGTAAGAGGCTATCTTGTTTGCTGAACTACACTCGCATTTACTACATTTGGAAACAAGATTTAATAAAAAAAAATAGTTCAATGTGTCTAAATGTTTGCGAGTTAAGTTGAAAAAAAGTTGGTCCTAAAACATTACCTTGCGGTACTCATCAGGTATATTCAAAGTGATAAAATTAAAAATCAAGTTGACTTATGCCAACTGGAAGTTCTAGGCATATCAATTCAGAGTTACTAATGACAGTTAAAAAACATTTGTCAATTTATCAAAAAGGTATTTGCTACGTTACGTCTTATTGAAGTATTTTTGAATTCGTTTGTAGAATACTCACTGTCCAGAAGTTTCTCCATTTGCTTCTTCGGTGCTTCCTGCATTTCCCTCTCGGCGCGCTCTTGGTCCATGCGCTGCTGATAGAAATGCATATTCAAGAACTTGTGCGATTGGTGAGAAATAAAACATGGGGGGATGGGGGCAGGGGGTACGTACTTGGGATAACGTAAAACTTATGTGGCCATTTTACACTTTAGTCTGGGATACTTTAATATGTAATAATATCTATGACTGTCAATGTTACAGACCGTATAATGTTACGCTACACTAGACAAACCTTATCAGGTTCAGTAGTAGTTATATCTATTTACATAACTGTAGCCATTCTAATGCATAACTAACCAAGAAGAACTATTACAGCTAACCCCCCCCCCCCCCCAACCCCATTTGTTCCCATGGAGGGTGGAGTCAGGCGGTGGGCCGGTTTCAACTCCCCCCCCCCCCCATCCTCGCACGTAAGCGCGTAGAACTTACCTCGAAATCTGAGAGCTTGATAATCCTCCTCTGCGCCTGCCTCCAGTGAGGCGGGGTCACTGACCGCGATCGCGAGCGGGAGCGAGACGGCGTGCGGTAGCGCTGCTCGCAACGGACGGCACGTTAGCACTCGCTCGCACGCAGCGAGCGCTCGCTGCGATTGGCCTTTCGCAGCGAGAGCTCGCTGTACGATTTATTTAGAACTCGGTCGCTGTGGTAAACTACTCGCTGCGAGGAGCCGTTCCGTTCAGCGAACCACGTTACAAATTAACAACACGTGGGCCACTAACAGACTGCACAAATTCCCGTTTAGAGCTCGCTGCGATTGCCAGATTGCTCGCTGCGTGTAGCCGTTCCGTTCAGCGATCCGCATAAAAGATAGATGACACATTTGTATATGGGCCACCAACAGACCGTCGAATCGCGTGGAACTCGCCGTGTATGACAGGCAGGCAGCGAGTTTTCGCCGCGAGTATTATTCGCAGCGAATAGACTCGCATCGAGTAATCGTTGTGTGACCTAGGCCTTATTCGATGTCCGTCATTTAAGACGCGTCCAAGGAGTAAGCTGAAGCGGTTGGCCTATTAAACGACAACCGCCGCGAGTGAATCTTTTATTATGTGAGAAGGTAGCAAGCGATCTCGCGGTTCACCAGATGTTGAGTGGTAACCGCCGCTAATGGACACCTACAGCATCCGTGGTTTTGCAGATGCGTTGCCACCTTTCAATACAGCGCGCCCACTGTTATCTCAGTTGCCAGAAGAAATACCACTCCCATTTCACATCGTCTTTTGTGAGCTCGTTCTGCTTCCCCGGACGAGCCTCCCCATCCATGCAACAGTAAAAACTGCTGCGTGGCCCTACCACAGTCAATACTACAAGGGTTGTTATGGGATGTTGTAGACCTAAGTCAACAAACTCGAGACTAAATGACGGTCTTCTGTGAGTCCGTGGCATTTTCCAAGTCAATCCAGCGAATGCACGCGGTAGCGAAAACTGACGGAAGCTTGGCAAAAAAAAAAACCCAGTTACCTAGTACTAACAGCCTTTCTATAAAAAATCACAGATTCTCATATAATTTGGGTCCGCATAACTTTGTATAAAAACAGGTAATAATGTTTATTTATTTATTTTTATTTCTCTTAAGACATTGTCCTTACTATGATGGACATTATCCTGTGTTGTGAGCACGTTTCACAAACATAAATTTCACGTGGCGGAACATCCAGATCCGAATTAATTATCTGCGGGTAACACAAACATTGGTCCCGTGTGGGGATCGAACACACGACCCCGAGCGCCGAAGCACATAGCTTGGCAACTGCGCCGCGGAGCCATCGAAATAATCTCTGATACTCACGAACACTCCTCGGCCCTTTATAATCCTCCCACTTCTGGTGTACGCGTGGCGTTCCCTCTCGCGATATCGCATCCTATACATAATAATTATCACTGTAAAACTATAGTTTTTTTTTTTGTAAAAACATTGCCCTTACTTTAGGACTACAAACATACATTTCGCGCGAACAAACGCCCAGATGTGAAACACCTATCTGTAGGTCACACAAATAATTGTGCTGTGTGAGGATCGAACCCACAACCCCTGACGCCGAAGCCAATACCTCGGCAACTGCGCCACGGGGTCATAAGTTCCTGTGGCCAGTTTCAATGGTTCAGCATTAATTCCCTTTTATGATCGTTCAAAGAATCGCAGACTGCGGTTATACAAACAAAAAGCAATAAGTACAATAAACACTCATTATAATATGTCGTTTTTTATTTCAGAATTATCAATATTTTTCCACTAGTACAGACTGTCGCACAATTAAGTTACCGAAACTATTTTTTGTTTCTAATAAAAATTAATCAAAATTTCCACTCGGAAAGTTAGCAATTATTCAGTAAAAAAGACAGTCTCTTTTTTGGTTAAGAACACAGGTTCTAAAAAAAAGAAATCCTTTATATCCTGTATATAATCCACATATCATTCTGATATTATACTTCCACATTACTTATGGAAAGGTTTGGTTAGCAAGTCCCGATGACCACTGCAACCTACAAGATCTACTGTAGTTAATAATACCCTTTTGTTAGGCAATTAATGATTTCTCCGTCTAAAGATCGCCATCATATACCAGAAGTTGTTGCAAGTCTCTACTGTAGTAGAGAAAAGTTCTCAAACCCACTCATAATTACTGATAACCACTGAAAACCGGACAATCAGACAATTTTGTATTTACCAGGCACACCCATACACTAACGGGTTAAATAATTTTGTTTTTTATTAGACATAAAAGTACCACCTTATCTTAAGAAATGATGATTTTGATTAAACTTTTAATAAACACGAGTACTACTATTTATCTAAGTTTTCTATCTTTCGCTACATAAAATAAAGATCATAATTAGGCATTTTCCAGTCTACTCTAAATATACCCTTTTATCTTTATTCAGAATCGCATCACCCTTGTAATAAATCCTAACAGCCTTCAATATCATTATAAATTGAGACAAGAGAAGAAATTAAATAATTTTGCAAACTTACATTAGGAATTGGCTAAAGCTGCAAAAGTAAAATTATACTGTTTAATGAATAAAACTAAATGAAATTGCTCATTAAAGGCCCATTTACACGATGCCATTTTCTTGTAAATACAAGAGCAATAATTGAATGCAATAAATTGCGCGCAAAAATTGACCATCAAGAATTGTAAGCAACAGTTTACACGCAGATATAGTAAAAAAAATTTAATGCGATTATTGAATGCAAGTCTTGACAAAAAATAATTGCAAATGTCTTTTGTTTACACCAATGCAATTATGTTTAGGCGATTATTGCTTTCAAGTTTTGACTTGTCTAAACACATGCTTGTATGTGCGTGTACAATTTATTGGCGTGTTGCTTCAAGTATTGCATTTTATTCAATTTAAAAAAAAATGGGTCAATAATAAGTGTTCAAGTCAGATTATGCCAATCTTTCATTGAGATTTAATTATTATTATCCATATATTATCATTCGTTTTTTTTATCTAACTTTTTTACGATCTTTTCTCAATATTTCTTTTCTCAAAAGAAAAGCAACTATTAAATACCCTCACTGATCGCTCTCATGTTTGCAAAGGAAGAGAGAATGCAATTGAATACAAGAATCTGTTTACACCAAGGAAAGTTTTGAAACAAAACTTGAAGCAAGTCTTGTTCAACAGTCAAGAATGTTATGTGTTGTTTAAACCATGCAACTCATTTATTGCTTCAATTTAATTGTATTCAACAGGCAAGAAACGGGCAACATGTAAATGGGCCTTTTTACTCTTAACTAAACTGTCAAATAATTAACATACACAAGTTGTAGCCAGTAGTCAAAGTTTGACCATAATCATTACATTTTAATATAATTTATAATCATTACATTTTAATATTGTTTCCCGAAACTTAGTATATCCAATATATTAAAATAATTCGGCATCACAGTTTAATCTGTGTCTCTTGATTTAATTGTTCTAAGCCTAACTTAAATCTCACACTTCATTATGGTTAGCGAGGGATAAATAGTTTCTTCACATAACAGTTTATAAAAGACATTGCCATAACCACATTATAAGCAAAAACCCTACATATTACAGTTCTATTTATTTATATTAATTATTTAATTTGGATACCCACCCACCTGCAAAGGTTTCAAATGACTATTTTACACTCTTGATTATTTTACACACATTCCTAAGGGATATCTTACCAGATAAAAGGCCCTCATTTCCATTTCCACAATAAAAAAATTCAATGTCAGTAATCCTGAAATCTCACATGCAATACTTGTAAAAAAAATGTAATGTTTTTTTTTTTTTATTTTTCATTTGATACATAAATTCAAGCAAGCTATGGGAAGTTATTGATGAGTCTACTAATAAGAGTAAATTCTAATGTTAAGTGTTGTTACGTTGAGTTGATCAGCTTATTAAAGCCTATTTACCCTTGCCTCAATATGACAAATTTCAAGGTATGAGCAACTAGTTAACTAAACCAGACGCTATAATCAGTATAGCTCTGTTAACTGGCAGTGATGACTATATAAAGACCTAAATAAAACTATAAAAGTAAAACTATACCTCTCTCTATCTCTTCTTGGTTCCCTTTCGTTATCCTGTTCACGGCCACCCCTCATGAGGAACCTATTTGTAGGCACGTCTGGTATCTCCCTGGGATCAATCTTTGTCGTCATAATCAGCGGATGAGAGGGAGCATCCTCAGCTTCCTCCTCATCTGCAGATGGTCCAGAGTGTTGTCTGAAATCGATAAATCGATATCGAAATATTCAAATAATCACCAAAAAGAAGATTTTTTTAAGAATATGGAACGCTGGTAGATGCAAAATATGATTATATGAGTATAATAATCTTTTAAGATGACCATGATCTGTTATATAGCAATCCTTGAGAAAACCTATGTCCAGGTGTGGACTCAGTGGGAGAACAAATCTCTATGAATTTTACATAAACCTAAGAAAATACCATAAACTATTTTAACTTTATCGTGTTTTCTTAATTTAAAATTCACTTATTCCACACTAATTGCAAATGTATTCATATTTTATTGTCTTATCACTCTATTTTGTGATTTATTTCACTAACTGAAGCTAATATTAAAAAAAATTAAATCACCTTTTCTTTTTCTTATCTTTCTTCTTCTTCTTGTCTTTCTTGTGTGAGCGGTCAGACTCATCACCGCTGTCTCCCTTTTGCTTCTCCTTGTCCTGCTTACGTTTTTTACCTATTCGCAAAATTAATACAATGATTACCCTCAAAACATACAAGATTCAAATAATGATAAAGCTATCTGCATCTTACTGTTACTTTGCTTTCACTTTTATTTTATTGCATGTTACATCAACCCATAATGTGCTATAACATGATTGATACAAAGACAACAACATGGCAAAGATACACACCGGTCTTCAGCCGAACCAGCTGGCCACACGCGGTCACAATCACGTCCTGGAGCGGGCGCGAGTTTCGGTCGACTGGCAGCGCCTCCAGCTGGCGCACTAGAGCCGCACCACCCACCACTTGGCCAAACACTACGTGCACACTGCGACAATGAGAGAACTACGTCCAGAATAGAGTTTACGGACAAAGTGCAATGCATTAATGTATATAAAGTTGAATTTGCACGGAAATACTGTCTTTGTGGCTTGTAAAATATTCAATATATATGCATGTAGCATATATATTCAGTATTTTGACGATTTGATATATTTTTTTAAATGTTACCCTTACTGTAAGATAATATTTTCCTGTATTGTAAGGATGTTGTATATACATAAATTTCATGTGGAAAAACACCCAGATCCGAAAGAATTATCTGTGGATCATACAAATAATTGTCCCGAGTGGGAATCTAATCCACGACCCACGGCGCCTAACTTTGGTAACTGCGCCACATCGGTCACATAAATTAATTAATAAGTTTTAGTCCAAATGCAGTCTCACAACAAACCAAGAAAAGTTACTCAAAGAAATGGACTTATTGATTGCTATTTTTAACACTTATTATAAACTAAGCTAAATTAAACATTTCAAGGAAACCACTACACATCAACCGTTTCTTCAACCATTAAATATTCTGCTCAGAATGGGTTTTCTTAAAATATGATTTAACAAAACCTCAAAAACTGACAAATAAAAAAGGGCATAATTATCCCCATTTAAAGGATGCTTCTGCCTAACGTAAGGGCATAAAGACATAGCCTATAACACACAAACAAGCCAACATAAATTAGGTTGCTGTGAATTGTGTCCTAATACTCTTTGCATTTGTCCAGCATCATGACGGTAAATGGGTTAATGTTCTACAGTTACAAGGGAAAGAAAACAGAAGTTGTAAGTTGATTGATACTCACTTGTCGAGATGCGGCGCCTCCTGTGTTGTTCTACAACACACAGAACACAACAAGAACGATAGCGGGCAGCGCGCGCACGTTGCCACCAGCGCCCTCTACACACACAACCTGCCATCAACCGTGGCCTCTACCACAATATCGGTTGCCACACTACTCGCTTCCTAGCACCTCACATACTTAGCATTACATCAGGGCTGACTATTTACCAGCTTTGATACATTATAAAAGCATTAACAGAGTACAGAGGAATCGTTGGACAACTCACAGAATCTCACTTGCAAAACAATGCCTTCATACTGGCTATTCAGCAGTAGACTATTCATTGGGTTCAATAAATATAATAAAAAAATAAATAGGCATTAACATTTTAACAACAAAAAAAACAGTAAGATGTGTATAACAATGATGAACCATTTAAGAAATTCAAATATTTGTTGAAAGATTGCGGCCTTAACAAACTCAGACCAATGACCTAATAACAATTTCAACTTTGCAGTCAGCATTGGGCTTGTAACAAATTGCTGATAAAATTATTTTACATCATTACTGCCAAAGCATGTTTAGATTGAACTGAGAACTTTCATGTTAATGTTTTTATTCAAAACTGAAAATTAAGTTGTTACATTCTTTAGCTACTTCAGATATCAAGTTTGTGTAATCTTGTAAAGAATCTGGGAGAATATGTAAGAGGACATATTCTCATAAACTAACAGGACTGCCAGCTTATCTTCGTTTATTACAAGTGATTGAATAATTTCTTTCATTTCACAATTAATATTATACAATTTGATTCACAATCATTCCTTTCAATGGTACATTCTTACCCTTCCTTAACTTACATAAAGAACTGTGATCCATTAGTATCCTTGCCTCGGTTGGCCATAGACAACAGATAAGGTTTATCATGTTTTAGTTCAAAGGTTTCATCTGAAAAGTAAAATACCTCATAAACATAAGGAATTGAATATTTACTTCAAGCTATACAAACAGTGCAAATCAAAGCTATATGAACAGTATTTGTCCATTCATTCAAAAGATTTTATTTCATAGGATAAGTTAGTTTTATATAAATAAAATTTTAAAAGAGACAAATGTTTTGACGAAATTTTGTATTGAGACATTAATTACCCTCAAAAGTTCCACCATATATAGACTCTCCACCAGTTCCATTAGCATTAGTAAAGTCACCACCTTGTATCATGAAATCCTTCACCACACGGTGAAATACCATACCCTGGAATTGAAAAAGTAATGTATAGCTCCTATTTAATAGCATATGGTAACATTTACATAATCTCTGCACCTGTAAAGGTTATATTCCTTCATAAGAGCATCACAATTCCACCTTCATCCAATCAATTTCATAAAGGAACTTTATGTTTTTATTATATCAATTTTTGAATATTATTTTTATGTCACAATTTGTAGTTGTGACCATCCTTGAAGAGAATACTTATTTAGGTAAAAATTACCAACAATTTGAAACATTATTCCATCAATTAAGGTGAAGATACTTTCAAAACAGTAGAAAGTAGGGTAGTAAGTCACTCCTTTTCTTTGACGGGAAACATGTGCAGATACACAAAGCCTTTTTGATTAACAACCATATATCAACACATAGAATTTAATTTATTTGAAGTTAATTCTGCAAATTTGATTTCTTAAATGCTGCTAAATGTCAGTTTAGATGTCCAATGAAGCTGGAGCACCATCTGAGCAAATTTCTGTACGTAAAATCTGCAAAACTTTAATCTCTTCTAAATATTTACTGATTAGATCAAAAATAATTTAGCCAATTGTAAAATTAGATAATAAATTGGTTAACTATAACATTTTTGTGAATAAACTGAACCAATGCAATTACCTAATTAAGCTTTTCCCTTCATATATGTTGTTTTATTATTAATTTGTGTACAAAATCAAACACTTTAGCTTTAATTTAAACTTTACTTGTAATTAAAGCATGTATTATCATTTTTTACTTTATTCATTTCTCAACTTTAGTGGTCCACATTAAGAATTTTGCAGCACACAATAGAAAAAAGTGAGTTTAATGACTCTACTCTAACTCCCCATTATGTATATATGTTGTTATCCAATTATGTATATACATTGTTTTCAAACAATAACATTGTATTTTAAATAAATACAATATTCGGCCCTACCACCGTACATAGCAAGTTCGCAGGTTAAAAGTTTTACAAGCAAATTAAAAGATGTTTAAAGCAAATTTACAATTTTGATGCAAATACTTGTTTTTAACAAGAATTATAACATATGGCCAAGACATAATTATGTTCATTTAACATAACACTTGATAATTATACTTAATAAAGATGTAGACTAACTAAAAGTATGTCCAACATTTCAACTCAAATAACTAACAAGAACAAAAAGTATTAAAAATTAGAAGGAAATGAACCATTATTTAACAACTTACAAGCGAGTTACACCTCATCAAAAAACTAGTAATGAGAAGGCATCAAACAAATTCACTAAGCACACAAGCATTCTATTATGGTAGGTCTGCTAATCAAAGAGTGCTACAGCGCAGAGCCATGCCCCCACTTCACAAAATCCTATTGTAATAGTACCTTTGCAAAGCTTGTTTATTAACTACTAAACTATCTTATCCATCAAAGATTGAAATCTTCAGACAAGTAATAGAAATATACTTTAACCAAATAACTAAGAAGGATTGCATACTGAAGTTGTATGGCAAAATATACTCATATACCAACTTTGCAGAAGCATTTGCCCAACAGTGATACATATAATATACAGGACTTCTTTATTTTTCTATGAGAATACAGAACATGTTATAAGTCATAAAAATAAAAAGGAAAATATGAATGTATTACATAGATATCTCTAATTTTGTCACCACAATATATGGAAAAATATACCTGTAAATACCTTATAAGTCAACGGTTTCCCGGTTACTTTACCAAGTCCCATTTCACCTGTGCATAGGGCACGGAAATTTTCAGCAGTTTTTGGGGCAACATCGTTAAATAATTCGAAAACTATTCTTCCGGATGGTAAGCCGCCGATGGATATGTCCATGTAAACACGCTCTCGCTCGGTTTTCTCTTCACCGTCTACAGTCATTGTTGCTGAGGCGAATAATAAAGTTATAGAATATATTGAAATATAAGGTTTCGACTGAACTATCTGTTCATTTGTAAAATCAACCGAAGTCCGAAATTATAACACGATTACATACTCGACGACGTTCACACAGATAATTAAAATTAATTAATTATGTTTTATTGGCGTTCTAGTATAAAATCGTTTAGGCCATAGACAAGCTGGGGCGATGTCAATCTTGTGAGATTCAACACTTCCAAAATGCAGACGTGTCTTTTTCCTCAAAAGGGAGCCCCTTCAACTTGGCTCCAACTTTCCAAAATGTGTCCTCGGGGTATACCGACCGCCTTCAGTTGTTGGGGGTCGAAATATCCTCAAAACTCAACTTTGAGCGGTTCATTGAGTCTAAAGCCAGGGCAGCTGCAAGGCAGTTAGATGTCCGTACTTCACACCGGGACAGCTTTTTACGCTATATAAAGCTCAAGTCCGATCGTGTGTGGAGTACTGTTGCCATATCTGGACTGGGGCTGCATAATGCCATCACCACGTGCGGAAAGGCTTATTGGTGACCTTAACTTGGTTAAAACCAAACCTTACTAGCCTTGACCACAGGCGCAGCGTAGTCAGCTTCTCGGTCTTCTTCAGGATGCATTTTGGAGAGTGTGCGTTGGAGTTACATGATTTGATTTCTCCTGCCCCTTTCCATCATCGGACAACTAGGCATTCGGCGAGACTAAACCATTATGCTGTCGATGTTCCCATAACAAGAACTAAGCGATTTGCTTCGTCTTTATCATCCGTACAGCTAAGGAATGGAACAACCTGCCGGCGTCCGTCTTTCCGTCCGATTACAACGTAGGCGTCTTGAAGGCAAGAGTGAATAGGTTTTTACTGTGCTAGTGCGCTTACCATCAAAGGCTGCATCGCCATTTACCATCGGGTGGGATGGCAGTCAAGTGCTGGCCAGTTCAAAATTAAAAAAATGGCGGATACAATGGACGACTGATTCGTCGATTGTAAAGCAGTAAAAGTCGATTGTAGAAGCAACTCATTCAAATTTTACAGATGAAGAAGGAGTAATTAAATATTTATCAGCTATTTCAGATAACACGGGAGTAAATAAACTACTATCGATCGATAATTTTAGCGCATTTAACTTGATTTTGACTTAGTTGACTGACTAATTGTTTTAATTCAGCTGGTATTGTATCAAAACTGATGCCAGAAACTTTATTGGCATTCGGCATATTTTTCAAGAACATATCTTTATATCAGTGTTCACCAAAAATACATTCCGTTAATAAATAAATAAACTTGGAATAGAGAAAGAATTTAATATAATGTAAATTAATTTGAGTAGATGTTTACGATGATTCTCAACATTAATTAATATACGAGAAAAAAAATATTAAAAAAATTTCGACCATAGATATCGACATTTTATGTCAGTAATAAATATCGATATTGTACTAACAGCCCTTGTAAAATGCTTTTTAACGAATAACAACACTATTCGATGAGTTACTAGGGATGTGCAAAGTTAAGAAATATATCGATATATTGATATTTATAAAATATCAATGTCAGCCTCTGTACATCGATATTTTCTCTTTATTAGGCCTCGTTGTCAAAAAAAAGGTACATCAAGTATATTTTTTTTAAGTTTATTTAAGCTTAACTGAATACAATCTAGTATGATAACAAAAGAAATATACACAGAAAAAATGTTTTCTATACATAGCATACACATTGAAACTCAATATAATTTTAGGTTCAAAGGTTTATTTACCGACTGCTATTAAATTAGTAAAAACTGTTTTTTTTAATATAAAACCAAATAAAAGATATTATTAATTAAGTAAATTAATAAGTAAACCATTTATTACTTTAATGATATTAAAGGACCGTTAAAAAACTGGACACTTTCTTTTTTGTAGTGGCCAATGAACCAGCGAATATGTCAATATTAAATCTAATAGTATTACATAGTGAAGGCATGCGATACGAGATCTGGCTGAGTTTCGTTCTACAATGAGGCAAAATAAACGTTTTCCTATTATGCATACGACGCGGAACTAAAAAATATAAACGCAGTTTCATTTAGTAATATAAACGCTTTTATAACTTTGGGGGATTAATTAATGCCGTTTTTTAATTTATAGACAAACATTATGTCAGCAGCCTTCCTGTGTGAGGAAAGGGGTAGCAGTCCAAAATGTGACAAACGATCAGTGTAATTCTGAAATAATCGGCATGTGCGATTATTGTAACACAGGTGGTATAAAAACGTTTCTGGATAAGCTCTATTCAATCGGAATTAGTAACATAATGAGGACATTGCTACAATATTCCAATTTACTACGCACGAGAGAATTATACAGTACTAGTTTAAGCCTTTAAATAAATATATAACCCCTTTAAGAACCCTTTTTCTAATTCAAAAATAGCCTATGCCCTTTCTCAGGTACGACACGACTATCTGTGTACCAAATTTCATTTAAATCGGTTCAGTAGTTTCGTTGTGAAAGCGAGACAGACAGACAGAGTTACTGTTTATAATATTAGTAAGTATGGATTAGAAAGTATTAAAAATTCTAGTCCGTGCCGTATTCGAATTTGAAAAAAAATCGTTTTGATATGGTTTCAATATTGAATATTTTGCATCGATATATCGGATCCAAATATATTGTCTAAAAATGTTGATATATCGATATTTTATTGACATCCCTACGAGTTACGTTACTACGACTACGACGCTATCTCTACTCTAATCTCATCTCACTACCAAACTATTGTTAATTGTTAACTGTATTTAATAATAGCAACGTTAAAAAATTACAGCATAGCATCTGATTTTCAAATAAGTGTTCTGTCTCATTTTGAGCAATTCCTGCTACTTATTGGATATTAATAAACGCTGTGAAAATGCTGGGTTCTGGAGACGCTGGCCACATTATTAAGTTACGCGGTTTGCCTTTTTCCACCACAGTTGAAGATGTACTTGATTTCTTGCGGGGTGTGAATGTCGTTAATGGAAAGGAAGGTATATACATTGAAATACACTTATCATGATAATTCAAGAATCCATAAAAGTATATTAGCTGAGTATAACTTTCATTGTGTTACATATGGCGGCATCTTCTTTATACTTTCTGCCGGGTAGCACTTTAGCATGTATACAAGCTGAACTTGTATCTCATTTATTTTGTTACGCTATATAATAAAATATAATGTTATTTTTTTAATAAAGCAAATTTATTTCAATGAAAAAGGTACGTATCTCGATATTTACGTAATAAACAAAAATGCGAACGAAAATTTAGAATTTTCCAATACGTTACAAGAATTAAAAAAAATTTCGATGGACACTTATTATGTCAATTCATATTTAGGGGTTCATCTAACGGAAGTAAGACCCGGAAGACCTTCAGGAGAATGTTATGTAGAAGTACTTGACCAAATTGATGTTGAGGAAGCTTTGAAAAAAGATAAAGAGAACATGGGCAAGCGGTATATCGAAGGTAATTTACAAACATTTTTTATTATTTAACTACCAACATAATGTAAGTATATTATATTATATTATAATAAGTAATTATATTAATAATTTGCAGTATTTTTGCAATATTAATATATATTAAATAATATATTATGTTAATAATTTGCAGTCTGTATAAATGTTCCAATTGCAAACATGTATTTATTTTCAGTGTTTTCTACTGATCGCCAAGATATGGAGTGGGCTTTAAATGCAATGAATCAATCTGAGAATGGGTTTGATGGCATTCCCAATCTAAGTGATGATATGGGCATTGTTAAACTTCGTGGATTGCCTTTTGGTTGCTCTAAGGAAGAAATAATCCAGTTCTTTGACGGTAAGATTATTCATTAGGATACATTTTTGTACGGACACACAACAAATTCAAGGATTTAGGTACAAAAATAGGATCAACTTAGTTCTGTGGTGGGAACAAAGATGTGTTTTAATTATTTTTTAACACCTTTTATTTTATTTATTTTTATTCCTCTTATCAACACTAATATTAGATGTTCCTGTTTTGTTTATGAAACTAAATTTGTTGCTTTTGTAAAAACCATTGTCAATGGGGTCTGTTTTATGAATTAGCATTGAGCAGTAATTTAGTTTGTTACATTGTTATTTTTTAACACCTTTTATTTTATTTATTTTTATTCCTCTTATCAAAATATATGTTCCTGTTTTGTTTATGAAACTAAATTATGGGGTCTGTTTTATGAATTAGCATTGAGCAGTAATTTAGTTTGTTACATTGTTACATTACGTTTTTTTCTTACCTCATTTCCTTTTTTTTTATTCCAAAAAACATAATTGAGTTACCAAAAAAAAATTCAATCTCCTTGTTTACCACGACCACATCATCCCACCACAGCGGGTGCCTATAACTTGTGTAATATGATCTTTATTTGCATCTGGGTGGGGCAGGGCTGACGGTGGCCCCCGATGGGGTGCACTTGCTCTACGACTACACGGGAAGGGCCTCGGGCGAGGCGTTTGTTCACTTCGTTGACAAGGGGAGCGCTCAGGAGGCACTCAACAGGGACAGGGAGAAAATAGGACACAGGTGGGGGGCCAGTTATTTAACATGAGGCCGAGTTTGCAGCCGCTGCGGGGATATTATGCAATGTCAAAAAAATATTTTAGGATCTGCATTAGTTAGAACATCTAAGAAATTTAATTGTTTAATTTAAAATTTTATGAAACAAGGATAAAGAGTGAAAGGATATTGCTAAAACTGAATAATTATGGTGATTCATATTTCATTAAAATTTGTGTGCTAACCTCATTAAGCTATTATTGAATTCTGACTTTAAAAACAAATTTTATTATAATTTTATTTATCTATTGCTGGCGACAACTTTTCTTGTAATTATTATTGTAAAAATAGAATAACGGGATAAGTTACTTAATTCTGAGTTTAAGAAAACATCCTTTATATAGAGACAGAAAGATTTCACATACATTACATATAACCAAATTATATTCCATATGTTGCTGTAAATTTTGTCTATTTAGCTCGTAAGTTACGCATTGCCTAATATCCTTTGGTTACGGTGGTACCAAACTTTGCCACAAGTACATCTAATTTGGTGTAGTGGGTTAAGTTTGGGATGTCTCGTGTTGTGGTAATTTATGGTTGATAGAAACATTTTAAGGCACAAAGGGGTTATTAAAATGGGAATTTGGGGAATTGAAAAATTACCTGTGTATTTTGAAACAAAAATAAGGGAAACATAACACTGTAAACTATATACATATAGTAGCCTTAGATAAGTAACTCGATAAGACAGTTTCGGGTAAAAAGTCATGAATTATAATAGAAGTTTTAATTAATGTAAAATTTTATTGTGAATAGAATACATTACAAATTACTGTTGTACGGCTTTCAAGATCTTAATTTGAATTTCTGTTAAGTGAAGATGAATCACTAATTTTCACATTTAATATTGATTCAAGTCTGTGAACAATTAATTGTCACTTTTAGAATAAAAATTAAAAAAAAAGCTAAATGTGTCAATCTAAAATAATTACAAACTTGGGAAAAAACTTTTGTTGAGGGGGAAGTTCACAGTTTTCCTATTTTTGTTTATATAAGTTTGCTTACATAATACTTAAATGTACAGAAAGGTACTAGATTGTGTGAAAAATGTTTAAATGTAATAAAATTTCTCTGCAAGACAATTATTTGATGTAAGACAACTCCAAAAATGCTTGCGAAATCTGAATATCCTTAAAGCTGTATATACTTACATAGTCTATATTTAATGTTCTTATATACTGGCAGTATTTATGAGCAAATTTTATGCTTAGATATTGAGTTATTAAGGTTTGGGAGAGCGAAGGGGAGAGGGCTGGAGGGGAGCGGGGCGTAGAGGCGTTTGGGGAGAAAATGAAGAAGAGGGAAGAGGAGATATTGAGTTGTATTATAGCTGTGGTATTATTTTCACTGCAAAGGTTTACATTATTTTCACAGAAAATTGTTCTGTTAACGATGGCAAGATTCCAATTACCTTTTTTTGTGTTTTCCTTTCTTAGTTTTCATTTTTGTTTGAAAGCAACTTTATTCTTAAAGATGTTGCTTTAATTTATGTATCATTTGTACGCATTTACACATTTTTATTAAGGAATTTTTAAACATATTTAGACTTACTATTTTGTACCTTATGTTAAAGGTTGTTATTACACAGTGAAGCAGTTAACACTGCATTTGGTAAATTTGTAGTCGGTTGAGATGATCTACTACATTCTGGTATAACTCAGATGACATTTGAAAACATAGTTGCGATAGCTGATAAAAATTATTTCAGGCTAATAGTAAATGAATAGTGAAATTGTTCACTAATTAGGTATATTTTGTGAATAAAACTGAGATGATTTGAAAGTTTACTGCAATTATCACCCAGTGCTCTAACTAAACAGCTCACATACTCGTATTGTATTCACTACATGTGTGTTTGCAATAATTTGGCATTGATAAAAAATTACCCAACTGTTTACATTTTTTTTTTAATGTGAGAAAGTGGCATACGGGCTGGCGGTTCACCTGATTTTAAGTGATAACCGCCGCCCATGGACATTTGCAACACCCGTAGGGTTGTAGATGCGTTGTCACTTTATAATAAAGTGGGCCCCGGCTACCTCTATTATCAGAAACCCAGAAGTATGACATTTTCACTTCACGGCCGGTTTTCTATGAGGTCGTGGTACTTACCCGGACTGACCTGCCCATTCGTGCGGGCCCTACCACAGTGAAACTACCGAAACATGACTGGCATTTCGCTTCAAATGCTATGAGTGCTAAATATCATCTGGCATTGAGTACCCAAATATGGGAAATACGAAATTCACCTTTTTACAGAAACATTCAGTTGAATATTATCGTCAGAAAGAAACTGGTCTGCAGTTTGTGAGCAAAAGAATAGCTCTGAAGGATAATTCCCGAGCGTATAGAAAGAAATTATAAAACGTGCCTTTTCAGTTTCATCCCTCATCTATCATCGCGAGGGTATTGAAATAAAAGAAAAGTTTGGGATCCTATCATCAATGAAATTACATCTAGGCCCAAACGAACCACTATTGCAAGACTCAGTTAGCACCTTCTGTGTAGATCGGACACAAAATTGTTTATTCAAAAACTGACAGTAGTCCGTGCTAATAATAACATTACAACATCCAACGGCTCATTCGGTCACGTGAACTTGGACGCTGAAAAGGATGCGAAACGCCGGGAACCGAAACTCAAAAAAAAAAGAAACGTGATAATTCCGAAATGTAGTTTCGTTCGATCGAAGGAACGTTGAACTAGCACGCCACACACGTCACACGGAGCCTAGCATTGTCCGAAATCTTCTGACAGGTACATCGAGGTGTTCCCGAGCTCCGCGGACGAGGTGAGGGCGTACGGCGCGCGCGACTCGGGCCGCGCCCCCGCCTCCGCCTCCGCCTCCGCCCGCGCCGCACGCCCCACGCCCTACGACCGCGGCGACGGATACGCGCCGAGGTTCGCGCGCGGCGGCCGCGGCTTCTCCAGAGGTGGGCAACGTTTCTTGTGTTTAAGTGTCGGTTGCGACTTCTCCAGAGGTGGGCAACGTTTTTTGTATTTACGTGTCGGTTGCGACTTCTCCAGAGGTGGGCAACGTTTTTTGTATTTACGTGTCGGTTGCGACTTCTCCAGAGGTGGGCAACGTTTCTTGTGTTTATGTGCTGGTCGCGGCTTCTCCAGAGGTGGGCAACGTTTTTTGTTTCTTGTGTTTTTAAAAAAAGAAGGTAACAAATGCACACACGTCAAGCTATGACGGTAACCATTCACCGTAGCCTGGGTACTTCTGCAACATTGGAAGCTCTGCAAAAGGGGTGCCGACTTTTGAAAGAGTTCGTTCATCAGGCTAAACACAATATAATAACACTTCATGGTCCTGCTAACTGTGACAAACTTAGGTGGTCTTTCATGTCTATGATTCGGCTGGGCTTATATCCGTAACCAGGCTATATAATTAAAGCTAAATTAGGAATTAGAACTAAATATGAACTAGATAATATAGAAATAAGCTATACATTCTTCTTAATTTTCAACCTTCACTGCTAAAAGAGTTATCATATCAGATTCAATTGATCATTTCTAAAAGAATCGCCGAGTTCAGTAAATCTTTGAAGATATTTTTATTCTTTCTGAACATGATGTACGCACGTGGTGAATGACATTTTTACGTTATACAAGATATCATTAAATCAACTCAAACTCGAATCATGTACGATGTTATTGATTGAAAGGTTCAGATCGTCTTTGGGACTGAATGTTATGTCGTGTGTCACTTCTGGCATAAGTTGTACAAGCTATGCGCTATTGCATCTTGTAGTTCACCACACGCAGAGGGTTCAGCTCATGACCACCACCCCGAGACTCTGGCCTGCCACGCGTGCCACCGGTGCCACTAGTGGCACTTGTGGCAGCGGCGATTTCATTATTGGACGTTGCGCGCAGGTGGGAACTTCAGGCGGGGGAGTTTCCGGCGTGGCGGGTTCTGCGTGCACATGCGCGGCCTACCCTTCAAGGCCACGCCACAGGACATTGCCTATGTCAGTATTGAGTTTCTTTGTCTTCTATTTTAAAAACATTGCCTTTAATTTAGGATAACATTATCCTGTGTTGTAAGGACGTTTTGCAAACATAAATTTCACGCGGACAAATACCCAGATGCGAAACAACCATTTGTCGGTCACACAAATAGTTGTCCCGTGTGGGGATCGAACCCACGACCCCCGATGCCGAAGCCAATACCTCGGCAACTGCGCCACGGAAGTTGAAGTCATCGAAGTTTCTCTCTACAAGTATTAATTAAAAAAAATAAGTTGCAAGAGGTTTTGGCTATGTTTTTTTACGACCGGCCGTCTGCCCGTCGTAAACCCTCATTGGAAAACAAACACCCAGATTCGGAACAATCATCTTTGGGTCACACAAATATTTGTCCCATGTGGGAATTGAACCCCGACGACTTAACTAATAGATTAGCAAAACGGGGTCCATTATTCCACCTAGTATTGATTTTAATATAAATCTAATTCATGCCACAACCTTTTACTATATCTATGTATTTGCATTTTTTTAGACTGAATTCAAATGAACTAGCCATCAAGATAATGAGCTATGCCATAATGGTTGTGTGCATTTTCAATCTGATCCAATGTAGTTTCTTGTTTAAGCCTGTCTTTACTATACATACATATTTCTACCATCCTGCCTGATGGTGAGAGCACTTTCTCACCATCAGGTAGGATGATTATCTTGAACTATATAAAGTCTTACATATTCCTCTTCTATATATAGATATGCATTATGAATGATTTGCATATTGGCAATTATTTTTGACTATTAGTTTTTTTAAAGCTATAAATTAAAAAAAATATATTGAATCAATAAAAAATGAGAAAATAATTTAATTTTACAATGATAATCCTTTAGCTTGTTTGTATTTTTCTTTTATTTTACTTGAAATTCCCATAAGATGTGACATCCATAATCAAAGCTATCCGAAATAGTTTTATATGAAACCGTTTATTATGTGAGAATGTGGCAAGGGAGCTGGCCCTTTACCTGATGTTAAGCGATGAAGGCTGCCCATGGACATTTAAAACACCAAATGTGTTGCCACCTTTTAATAAATTGGGCTCCGGTTACCTCACTCACCAGACGAAACGCAGAAGTATAACACTTTTACTTCACGCCGGCCTTCTCTGAGTTCGTGGTACTTCTCAGTACGGGCAACAGAGAAGACTTTTGCGTAGCCCTCCCACGGTTAACCCATAGTAATCCAAAATATACTCTAGTTAAGGACCTGCTCATCCATGCAACAGGGAAGACTTGCGTAGCCCTCGCACAGTTAATCCATAGTAATCCCAAATATCCTGTAATACTGCTTAATCGCTCTGGTGAGCTTAAGCGTTACCTAACCTACGCCTTGTCTCGCAGTTCTTCAAGCCAGTGCGTCCGGTGAACATCAGCATCCTGTACGAGAACAGCGGCAGACCCTCGGGGGAGGCGGACGTCGAGTTCGACAGCCACGAGGACGCCGTGAGGGTGCGTATCACACCCACTCACTCGCTCACCAACTCTCTCACTCACTCACAAACCACCAATGGTACAGTTCCACTGCTGCGCACAGCTATGCTATGCTGCTATTTTTTTTAATGTTTTTTTTTTTTTTTTTTTATTCCAAAAGTTGCCAAACGAGCAGACGGGTCACCTGATGTTAAGTGAATACCGCCGCCCATGGACATACACCCGAGGGTTACAGAGGCTTGTCAACGCCCTTTTGAAAATTGGGCCCCGGCTACCTCACTCACCATACGAAACGCGAAAGTATTTGTCATACTTCCACTTTACGCTGGTCTTCTGTGAGGTCGTGGTGCTTATCCGGACGGGCCTGCTTGTTTGTTACCTCATATCTTTCAACTGAGTAAACCGATTTTGATAATTCTTTATTTATTTGAAAGCTGGTTCTTCCCATGTGGTCCACCATTAATTTCATTAGATCTTGGCTTCCGGAGATACTTAGGGAACTCCTGAAAATCAATTATAAAATTTAAAAAAAAATCAATGTTGATGAGTGATTTCTATTTACTTTATTCATTTAATATTTACTATCCAGAATGATGAATGTGCATTTACAATGCGTTTTCAGGCGATGAGACGCGACAAAAGCAACATGGACCACCGCTACATCGAGCTGTTCCTGAACTCCTCGCCCAACGGTGGCGGATCTGGCTTCAAGCCCAACAGGAGCTTCCGCACCAACTACTGATGGCGCAAAATGCACTCTATGGCGGGCTCGAGAACGCCACACGCGTCAGAACTGTCCTAGTGCACTAAATACCGTTGCAGACCTATCCAGAGAGACTACAATGGGGTCTTCTATCTCGCAGTGGTCGTCGGGTACTCAATCCATAATGAACCTATATGATACCATGAAGTGTTATTTTTACTATGTTTCTCTCGTTTCTCATATATGATGGTGGTAACTAGTTTTTGGTTTATTTTATAAGAGCATGATATGGATCTGTTGGAACTGAATACTGCGTAAAATGCAATGTTTTAGCTTGAACTGTCTGTTTTTGAGCATAGGTTTCTGACGCTTCTTCTGATAAATGTTATAACATGTTAATGTTATCAGTGGTTCAGATAAATTTAAGTAACCTACGGTTTGGTATAATCTTTACGTTCCCAATTAAGGTCAATGTGGACTGGGGAATAATTTATTCTACAAAGTTTATTTACTTTATCTTCTCTGAGGATACATATTTATTGAGTCTTTATCTCTTCTAATGATCTATTTTGAATTTTTAAATAACTAAATGTGTCATTTGTATCTGATATCTATGTCATACAAAACAAAAACACCAACATGCTGCTTAAATGTCTAATAGCAATGAAGTATTTGATTTATTATTGTCATCAACTTTATATGAAGACCTAATATGCTGCAAAACCCAAGTGTCTAAAGGGCATATGAATAGTTGTAAGCATTTTTTTTTTATATTTACTAATGAAAAAAGTCAAATTTTATTATGTATAATTGTAATTTAGCCTAGTGGATAAACATTAAAATGTGCAGTTTCACTTGTGATGTCTAAATTCAAGGAACTCAATTTTAAAAAAATATTTTGTATATATTTAGCGAACATTATGTTCATCTAACAAGTGTTAGATTGAACATTAGTAATTTTTTTACATCTAATGCACTGTTGTAAATTATATACACCATTTTTTCCGATTTCGTTTGGCAATGGTTAGATCAATTAGGAAGTAATAAAATGATATTTTGTATTTATTTTGCAGTTTTGAAACTGAGTAGGACAATTTTATAGGAAGTTTTGGCTCCACTTTTGGTTTAGAAATGTCGGGGCATAACCATTTAATGACCCTTAACTTACAAAGTGCATTTGTAAAGAGTTGTTTATTCCAGGGTTTTCCAAACTATGTTCAACAGGACACTAGCTTTGTTGGAAAATGTACACTGAAACAATTATAAAGATTTTATATTTGAATGACGTTAAAATGTACCTTCCTACGGGAGGAATTAACTTAAAATAAAGTGCGAATTCTGTTCAAAGTTTCTGAAGTTTGGAAAACCGTGGTTCAGTTAGATTACATTGAATCTAGTTGTTGTTTGTGAGCCGGAGACATTGAATATTTCCTGTTGAATATTTCTAGTGTTTATAGTACAAGCGGTTTGACAAATCGCCGGTGAACAAGTGTTGTGCAACGGAGCGGGGTCCAAGATTTTCTGGTGTTTTTCTGAGTATTTTTACCGTTTAGCCGGACGTTTCGGATTCTTTTCTAAGCTTTTCGACGACTTTTTCGGATTCTTTGCAAACTTTTCGTATACGTATATATAATTTAAGCGATTAGATGTAGCTGTGGCAATTATTTTGCACAAGTAGCCGTATCATGACATTGAGGCATTGCATACTTTATAATACATATCAAATATCTATAATAAAATAACCCGGTGTCTTTTATGTTGCTGACGCCTTATGCACCTTGACAATAAATGGAGTTGTAATCGTATATCGGCAGGCTGGAGTTTTTATAAATCTAATAGTTCTAACGCAGTGCAGTCTTTAACCATGCATCGACCATAATTAGCGAAAAATAATCTGCTATTGTATTTATTTGAAGTTATACTTCTTTTGGAGCGTTGGGGAAATATGATTACTGTGAATTTTTACACCAACACCATGGCGTTACAATGGCAACCGATAGCAACCTTTTGACATATAGGTACATATCATTCAAAGTTATATAACAAAACCATAATCAATTGCACTTAATTTACTTTTTTTTCCACACAAACAGTACTGGGATACAGTTTTTAGTTATTTTTATTTTTTTTACGCTTAAGAAGTATAACTTCTTACGTACGTACATAGGTACACACACACACATACACGTCTATTTATAGGTGAATAAAAGAATGCCATGGTCCGTGTAGGAATTTCGCGCCCCGTAAAGGAATCCGAGGATTTTTGAATAAAGACTGCATTGTTTGTGAATGAAACTGATCTATATATCCCTATATATTCGTTTGAGAGATTTCAAACAATCCCACAAGCCACTGTGTTATATCACCTATATAAGTTGTACATCTAATTTGAAATTTCTCCTTCAAAGTTTATTTATGCGCTGCAAAGTTGACAGTGCATTCCGTTTCCGTTTGTTTTTAAGTTGAAGTTAGAGATGGAGGTGATTTTTTTTTATTTTGTCGATGAATGTAGGTTTATTTAAATAGCTTTAAGTAATTTTTACTTTAATTAATAAATGATTAAAAGTGAATTGGGTTTCATTTCCCAACGATTGCATTTATGATGAAGATAAAAGCTTTCGGTAGTTTTTCTATATTCATAGATTATTTATCAGGTGTGTAACTGTTTACTCTGTGGTATAGTTACTTCGGTAACAGACCGTTACTCAAGTTATAATAAATACTAGTTATATATAATAAATAATAGTCTGTGACTTATTTTTATAAAATGAATGGCATTATACTTTTATAGCATATGACATCGTATTATTAATTGTCGACATTTTATTGAAGTATTCATGGTCTTCAAGAAGACCATAAAAACATTCTGATTATTTCGAATCATGTTTATGATAATATTTTATATGTAGGTGAAGACTAAAAGTTAATGAAATCTGGCGAATAGAATCAAAAATACACGCGATAAATCCGTAAAAATAGCATCATTTATTAACGTATTTAATTTACAAAAAAACGTGTCAAGACTGACAATATATCGGAATAAACTCAAAAGTTAAAGATTATCATCTCACTCTAATATAAAAGGACAATGAAACAAAGAGCTATAAAATTCAATATCTACGAAACTAACGATTGACCGAAGATGATAATTAATTTTCTTAAAAGTTTTAATAATTTCTTACGTTTACAAGAATATTTTCATTATATTTTGGTTTATATTAATTTAAAAATCCCGATGTTTCGAATACTTTATGGAATCCATGCATATGGGATCATCGGGTAAAACAGTCTTATTTCTGTTATGATGTTAAGCTACCCACAATAGGTATCGAGTTAGTCCTAATTTTGACACCACCACCACACACCGGGATCACCTCGATAAGATGGAAAGTTTCAATAATAATTGTACTTCTTCTTTACGTGTCGATGACAAATCATATCTTTCCAGGCCAGAACTTAGCCACTTCCACAGCACAATTTCTGGCATCCATCAGATCCCGCTGCGAACAGGTGAAAGGGCAGGCAGGACAGGACATCAGATGGGCCATGGACACATACAGTCCAGGTCTGAGTTTTCTGAGAGTCCCCACCTGAACATATTTTCCTTGCTTCGGCCAACCTGAGTCCGAAGTCTATTTAAAGACTTCCAGGTTATTCCAGGATATTGTACTAGGTTAAGTAAATAATCTCCAACTCAATTCTCGCAATAGGAATCTTCGTTCTTCTCAGAAGATGTTTCGGTTTCCGGTACATCATTTCACCTTTCTCTACTCTCTCAGCTTACTTACTAGTCTGGAACTACTTGATCCAGTTCATTAGAAAACACCAAACAAGCTTTTTTAAAAAATGCTGCGATCTCACTATGCCTATGTTATCGATCGTGAAATTATTCAATTATTTACCGCAGTCGTTTAAATCGTATCCCTTTTATATTTAATAAACATACACTTACCATTACGTATATCGTATAGCGAATACATAAATTCGCTTTTATGGTACGACAATGATTCTACAACGAAATAAATTTATAACATTGCAAAATTTTAAATCAACTCTATTGTTAGTATCTTATTGTAATGTAACGTATGTTAAAATTTAATTGCATGATCCATGTTGTTTTTGTGGTAAACATAATAAAAATTATGTAAGATTTATTAAGCCCAATTTACTTCCCTCGGCCTTTTATCCGAAATACCTCGTAAAACTTATCTAAAAGGAAATGATAATTTATTGCTCAGTGTTTTCCGTATTTTAGGTACCTTTTTATTTTCGTATACTGATTTACTTCTTATTCCCGTCAGTTTATAAAGTCAAGTTATATTGTAACCAGTTTGTGTAGACATAAATAATATATTATTCAGGTTTTAACGCGCATACTTCTTCCGTGCGTTCAGACACAGGTTTCCATACTTATACGATTCGAGGCAGCCGTCTCCCGCGGCTGCCAGTCTGTACGATACAAATATGGAAAGCGCAAGCGGACAAAAATTACACCTTTCCATCATTTGGGGCCGAAATCAGGCGGCAATAAAAATGAGCTTCCCAAATAAATCATGCGCAATCATTAGTGAGGGTTAAGTATGGTCCAAGCGAGCGGAGAGCGCGTGCTGGTTCCGCTAGGAATTGCTAATTGGATCAACATTTACGGTCATAGTTTACATAATAAAGTTTCAAATGTTAAGATGTCATAAAATTATGTTTCAGACGAGAGTATTACAATAACATAGCATAAGTTTATTGGATTAACGCTCTAAGAGTTTGAAACAAGCCCATATAAAATACTTAGAGCATTTCCAAGAAAAGGGTGATAGAGCTATGCCGCGTTTATGGCGACATCAACATTAAGATCAGATTAAAATAAAATACTCTACATTTTATAGTCGTGTTAGTTCAGGTGTCCGGGTGCTCATTTTTAAATCAATAAAAACCTGACTTCAAATCCCACTTAGTCACCAATGAAATTATTAATTGCAAGTGTTCAGCATCCGAAATAATAATAAAAAAAATATTTCGAAGACATGTTAACCAATCTGCAGTGGGGTCACGTGGTGGACTGTCTCACGGTACATAGGTCTTAGACAGCAGTGGAACACAACGGCTGTTATTTTAATTTGTGCAACATTTTTATAGTCTGCGTAATACCATTATCTTTTAGGTTTATCATGTATCTATTATGGTTAGACCGTTCTTTATCTTTACTTTTACTTTTTTACTCTACATTCCGGGCTCCAGTGCCGCCAGCCGTCGTTGTTACGTAAGTTTGTCCGGGAGCGCGTGGCTTGGGCGCCACGGCGGGCCGCCGTCTGCCCTCGCCGCCGCCTCTCGCCGGCGCCTCGGCCCCAGCTGGGCCCCGCGCCGCCGCCACCAGCCGACGCCGCTCTCCCACACGCGAGACGCTCGCTCCGCAATCGGCATCTGTCCCCAGGCCGGGAGCAAAAGTCCGACCTTTCATCGCCCCACTCCCCATTTGTTTGCACTTTGTTTGTATCAGTTTTTTTTTGTTATCTGGCGGTCCACCTGATGTTACCTAAGTGATAACCTCCGCCCATTGACTTTTGCGTTGCAGATGCGTTGTCACCTTTTAATAAAGTGGGCTCCCGGCTACCTCACTCACCAGACGTAACGCAGGAGTACCTGAATTACGTTTGGTGAATGAATTAGCGTAAGAGTCTGGTGTTCTACTGAACACTTGCCCTTCACGCCGGTCTACTGTGAGGTCGTGGTACTTACCCGGACCGATTGCCCATTCGTACAACAGCGAAGATTGTTGCGTACCACAGTAAACAACATTATCCGCAGAGTCGCTACTGACCCATTTCTGTTACAACCTGTTACAGGGCATGCAAATTCCGTGAAGCTATTTCCTTCCTTGCGGAATCATAAACTAACCTACTAACTAATTAAAACCGCTAACTGCTCATTATAAGTTATTACTTACCATGTGCTCACTGTGAAAACATCTTGAGGAAATCACACAGATCACATACTCGTTATCAAACAGATGGTATGTCATTTGTTTGATATATCGATTTTTATAATATCTTTGGTATGCCAAAGATATTATAAAAATACCGATCCACAATAAAGTAGCTAGGCCAAGAAGGGTTAGCCCTTGACTTCTGGACGAAGACGATTTTCGCCCAGCGTTACGTCGTATACGTATAAGCTGTTACTTGATCTTCTAAATTATAAAGGAAAATAATAGAAGTTACATTAACATTAAAGCATGATAACAACAATTTCAATTTCATCGATTTCTTTATATAAGGACATACGATCGGCGCTACTCGAGACAGCTGTTACTCCTTACAAACTTTGTGTTAACAAAAAAAAAAAGACGTCTGTACTAAAACAATAATCACAACACCCTGTTTATAAGGCTACGCCATTTATTAACAAAAAAATTATTCAAAGGCTGCGAATTATGGGTTATGTAGTTAGTTAGTGATATAATGGACGCCAACGCTCCAAGTATTTGTCACGTTCTGTTTTATTTGGTGACAAGTTTACTGAAAACATGGGGACTTGGTGTCGCGGTGGCTAAGCGATTGTAATGGGAAAGATCTGTATGTGGTCATTGTGGACATGTAATATTAAAATATTTTTTTCTTACATCATTTTTAAACGAAACCCAAAAACACATTCAAACGTATTCAATACTGGTGACATACCTAAAATTTTACAGAAATAATCGTTCATGATATCTTTAAGAGGCCATCTTAAATATCTGGCAGTGTTATGAAATGCTAACAATTATAAGAGATTTAGACGAAGGTGGTTATTTGGGAATTATTCAGAGAGCGTTGACGAATGACGTGCATTATAAATCTGGTCCGATGTACTATCCCTAAAACGTGACTTTTTCCACCAGTGCCATCGTCGTGTCGCTGCTGCTTACCTCCTCTCTGTCTCAATTATTCAGACAGCTATATCTATTCTTTTAAGGAAATTGCACAAGCGGACCCGACAGACGTTGTCCTGTACACACGACTTACTCGTAAATCCGACAACAACATAGAAACAAAAAAAAATTGTAGTGGACCGAATTGTGAATTTAAATCATTCTTGAATCGACCTGAAGACACAAACAATTTCATAAAAGTTGGTCCAGCCGTTTAGGAGGAGTTCAGTGACATACACGCGCACAGAAGAATTATATATATATATATAAGATATCTTGTAACCACGTTAGAAGTTGACATCAATATCATTAAAAGAATGTCTGTGTTGGTTATCCGTATCGGCGCTCACAAATAGGGATGCGTGTCTAAAACGTACTTAAGTACAAGGTTAGAGTCGCCAAGTTGCAGCTATCGTCGGACAGTCCTATTATAAATTAGGCCTGGTATACTCTTGCTGAGCACGAAGCGTCTTTTTTTCTAGCACATCCATATCAGTATCCATCAATTGAGATCTCTTAACTTTTTATTTCTTTCACTATTAGATATATAAGAGGGCTAAGTTATTCTTTTACGAGTAGCAAACGATCAGACATTTCACTTGATGTTCCATAGACGGACTATGGATATAAAACTACTCTAGAATTTCAGACGCTTAAGGATCGAAACACTAAAGTATGAAATCACATGCAGCAGTATTTGATAGGGTCGTGGTACTTCCTCGAACGACCTTGCCCATTTGTGCAATGCAACAGCAGGTGTTGCTGGATGCAAGCACAGTAAAATCTGCGAGACAGTAAAATCTGCGATAATACAGCTTTGTTTTTCAAATATTTACGACATCATCCCGCTATTTCCATTAGATTAGCTAAATTTTAGCTCTCCATGTTTAAGCCATATGCCGGTATCGGGAAACATTTTTAATTTTACGCTCGAATTATATACGTATCTAAATATTTTTATATCATCTCCGGTTGAATCTTTCCACTCTTATATATTATAATTGTATTATATAAATAAGACAAGTCTCTAATTTATGTGTATTCGTTTCTCATGTTATTTTATTTTATCTGAGCTCCTACCTCAACTTCTCTGGTTGACTGGCAGAAAATGCCTTTGGCATTAAATTCGCCTTTGTAGAGAGATTTGCTTATTTTTGTGCATAAAGTTTTAAATAAACAAGCAAATAAATCTTAAAAGCACGAAGTAAGGGTAAAGTAATTGAGAGAAAAAAAATTGAGAAGCGTGCTCATACAATCGAGAAATTCGTGAGAGGATTGTCAAAGTGACATTTAGTGTTACGACGCGACGTACGTGACACGCTGAAAATGTTTTCGCTGTCCCGCATTTTGGCCATGCGAGCTGGCAACACTGCGCGGCCGCCCGGCGTCGGCCGGCGGCGCCCTGCCCGCGATGCACCGATGGGGTGTCGCCAACGCTCATAAACAAATAGCCCCACCCCCACATGTATCGGGGCGAACAAAGTGCCAGTTATAAAAATACCACTCACTTAAGAATTACTGTTGACATTCCTTCATTAACCACCTATAGGCACGCTGCAAACGGACAAAACGTCTCAAAGAAATTTTCACAACTCTTATTGATATTGGAACTATATTTTTTTCTTAGATAATATATATTATTTTTATATTACCTGTTAACAATTTGTGTACAAAAACACTGGATACAGAAAGAATTCGAAGCCTTTATAGTTACTATTTTAATTCTAATAATTAGTTATGTATTCTATTTTAAGAAATACCTATACACAAATTATACCTTGAAAAATAGACGCCACCCAGACAAAATATATTTATCTGTGCGGTACCGTATTGCCGCCCGCTTCAAAAAAGGCAACTATTGAGAAAAAAATCTCGAACTAAAATAATTAATAATTACATCAATATTTTACAAAGCTCTAAAGAAATGTGACACAAATATTAACACAATCATTAATTAATAAAGACGTGTTGTCATGTAAGGTAATTTGTTAGAAAATATTGCATGGCAATTAAAAATAAATTGCTTTCAACAAATCAAGAAAAGAAATCCAAAGAAATTCAAATTCAAACAGCTGACAAAAAATTATTGACTTTTTAGTAGTTAGTCTACAAGCAAAATGTCAATTTAGTAATATTAGAATTTGCTTGATAATTTATTGTAAGTTACGTTAAGATCATACGAGAAAAAGATAAGTAAGTTTTGCTTTTAATAAAGTCAATAAGTTATATAAGTTCAATGTAAAGCATATACCTATTGTCAATAAGTGTTATTTCAATTACAAAAATTAAATTTACATAGGAAAACTAAATACAAATTAAGTTTGTTAAAGTAATGATATTGTTTACTTTCTCGCTAGTTTGTAGATACTGATATATAGCAAATTAATAGTGCTACCAGCCGGTAAACTTTGAATCAAACCTAGTCACGTCCGTCAACATCCGATGTTACTTCTAAGCGATAAAATCACATGAAGTGTCGGATGCTGTGCCATTTGCCAACGATACGGGACAATTACAATAAAAGTCACAATTACCTACTTTGTAACGGACTTAAGTCAATAACCTCACAGGAATGCGATCGTCTTGTTTTTACATTCGAGGGTTTTGAAATGTTGTAGACCAATAACATTTCATTATGACATTCTTGATCCGAAACCGCCACCGTGCTAATTAAAATGGCGAAATAAAATAATTGACTCCTCCAGAATGGAACCTCTAAACTCTGTTTAAATGTTAATGTTACTCAAAATACATTCGGAAGTCTATTGTGTAAAGACTATTTTTTTAGCGATTGTTATTCTAACCCCTAGCATTTAAATAGCATTGTTTATTAACTATATCTACTCGATCTACGTACGCTTCCGTTGGCGCCGTCTATATCTAAACTCAAAAAGCAAAGCGTTGTTTATAGAGACAAATAATTATTACCAATTGTGCTACAGAGACGAAGGAGCGTAAACATATTAATCAGAGACACACAATCTATATTAGAAGAAGCAGTTATTAAGCGACCCAAATTATTTTATTGTCAGTGACAAGATGGCGCCCGGGCCAGTCGTCTTGGCGCGCTTTCTCAACGACGTAAACAGAGCTATGCTTACAATTCCTTTGTGTTTTCACGCTTGATTGATTGATATTGTATTAACTGTGTCGCCGGTGAACAGACAGCCTGGTTATTAAACCTTCAAGCTTTGGAATGATTACACAACTCTAAGGACAAACCTGTGGACATCGATTACTTTTTGACGGCCTTATGTAATTAAAAAGTTTGGAAAGATATAGTCGTAAAGTTCAACAATCATGTTTATCTGACTCGCACGAGTGAAACTCAACAGCGTTTAAAATATAAACAGTCAACAAATTTAGAAACTCTATTTCGCCATTTTCAAAACCACTAAGAAGTCAATTTCTTCGAAAGTAAAATTTAAGCAAATAAAAAAAAGGTATTTTTATATTCGGCTTTTATTCGATGCAGTTATTGTAAAAATCATTGGCCATTATTTTTATTGGCGTCAAGCAATCATAGATAAAACTATTTGACAGATTCTATAAGCTTTGATTCCGATTTTTTTTAAAATACCGCTGATCTTTATGGCATTCATAACAGTGTACATTTTTCAGTGCAGCCATATCAGAAAAAAAAACAGTGTACATGTCACTGGACTGGTAAGATGACTAACTTGTACACACAGCTTTGAGGACCCGCTTGGCCTAGTGGTTAGTGAATCTGCCTTTTGTGCCTAGGGTGTGGGTTCGATCCCCGCTACTGGAAATATATGGTGTGATGAACATAGTGTTTTTCAAGTGTCTGGGTGTTTATATATGTATATAATATGTATTTATTTACAAAAGAAAGGTATGTTTATCAGTTATCTAGTACGCATAGTACAAGCGTTGCTTAGTTTGGGGCTAAAGACGTTGTGTAAAAATGTGTCTTAAAATATTTATTTATTTATTTATTATTTGTATCATCTGTGAAAAGAATAACCTCTTTTAGCTACAGAGTTTCATCATTCAATAGCTTATGATTACCCATTGCTTCGCAAGAATGGGCTGGCTTGTCCGGGGAACTCCCAGGCCCTCACTGAAGACTCACAAAGTTTATGGATGTGAGTTATTTGTGCTTTTGGCGTGTGAAGTAACCGGGGGCATCTGCAACCGCTGGTGTAACAGCTAATTCAAGGAGTAAACATCGGCTCGTTTGTCTTGCTCTGTGGTCACTAAGACAAAACTAATGTTTGGAAGGGTTAAAATAGCAGGAGCAAGTAGCTCCTGCTATTTGTAATACTGAAATGAGGCTTGTTTTTAATCATTTGTCCTAACGTTTCTTTTTTAAACTGTGTTTTCAATTCATAATGATGTAATTGCTGTTTACAGTTGTATAACTATTATTGACCTTTATTGATTTAATTGCACTAATGATAACTAACTAACGCCGTAAACGACCATTCGCTAGACACAAGAAAATAAATTTATTCATTACAGCACAAAAGAAGGAATAGCGTGGCTCTAACATGGATACACTATCTTGTAATTATAGACATATTTTAGTGATAAATTCAATAAAAAAATATTATACGAACAATCATGAACATTTAAAAAGTGTTCGCGAGAATAGTTTCAGTTAAATAAAAAAAAAAAACAAAAGACTATGCTACAAGTTGCTCTTGATTGATGATTCCGCCAAAACGCCATCGAATCGTTTTGGCGGTAAACGAGAATTAAAAAGAGAAACAACAGAACGTTAGCTCAGATTATGCAATATTCGTGGGGCTCAAGGAACGGGAGCACATTAGGCGTGCATTGCTGAATCGGTGATCGGGAAGTCGAACGATCTATCGACGCCCCCGGGTGGATTGATTGCCGCGTACTGAACACGCTAGCTAGCGCCTCGTAAATCATTTAGAAAATCGCCCGATCGCCTTTTAAACGAGGCAAAGACGACCGCCTCGATAATGAGCTTCATAAACTATGTATCGGGTCACGCCCTTACGAATCGCCTTTTAATGTTTGGTTAGTTCTTCTAGTTTAAAAATGTGATAAGTTTAAAGTGAAGATCATAGCACCATTACGGACGATTTATAAAAGAAGTGATCGAAATGTGTGTACTCAAAACTTGCGTGACTTGATTCCTCTGGGCTTTTCTCAGCTATGTTTCCTAACAATTCCGATGAGGACGATATTCTGTAATTTAACAAGTTACTCCCGAGCCTGAAATCGATAATCATTTCGACGTTTCAAGGGATTACTGTATTTGAATTTTCTTCGGGTGTGTTTCAAAGATTTTCGTTAAAGTAACTTTTGTAGAACATTTTTAATTTTTTTATGCTTTAGTGCATTTCCTTAAATAACAAAAACCAATAGGAGATAATGACTGCAATAGGCACACTCTACTAGTACTCCTCTATTTTATTCATGTACTACTCTAGCACATTCAAATAAAAACGCTTGTATTGTAATAACATAAATACTTTGACCTACCGTTCGACCGTTAAGATAATTAGGTAGAGCGTAACATAACTCAATAACACAACACAATACCAACACCCTCTCAAGATGGACATCCCACAAGTCTTCTGCGTATTGAAAAGAATTTTAACAAGAAATTATCATATTACTAATACCAGTTACATACAGTTACAGACAATTTATATGAGAACTGATTGAAAAGTATGTACTCAAAACCTGCATGACTTAATTCCTCTGTACTTTTCATTGTTATGTTCCCTATTTCGTCGATGAGGGCGATATTCTGTAATTTTCTAAGTTTTTAAAAAAAAATGGCAACCGTAAGCGGGAGAAATAATGTTGTCGAGTTATAGACAATTAATAATGGCTGTGACCACATGAGACTGCTGTACTAAGGGTACCTTAATTGCTGTACCGTTACGTCGACGATAATGACGATAATGTAGTCTAGCACGATCTCTAAGAAGAGATCGTGCTTACATCGGGTCTGGAAATTATCAGCTTCAGATTTTTCAAAGTTATCAAACGCGTCTAGTCTAAGAAGTAACAAAGCATCTTTAGGACTAACAAAGGTCTTGAATTACGGATCCGCGCTTACAGGAAACGGTCCACAAACAGTGACTGTACGCCAACAGAAAATGTGCTATGGCTCTATTTCTACCACGAGTCCTTAAGGTGCTGCATTGTCTTTTAGCTTCAGCTGAAGGTACCAAAGTCGAAACCGGTTCGGATCAAATTGCCAAAAAATTGCTTCAAACAAATCAATCGGTAACAGATTAACTGCAAAACGCTCTTAAATATGTAAGTCAAAATTACTCCGGTTATCCGTTTTAATAATGTTAATATATAATGCTAATTTTAAAGTAAAAATGATAATAAACTTTATCAGAAGAAGCCTAATTACATTTAAATTTATTTCTGACCCCCACACTACGCAATGCTTGTCCTATGGGGGGTCCTATCAGCGTATATATATCCCATTGCTGGGCAAGGGAAACCTCTTTACAGAGAGTATTAGGGTAGTCCGTCACGCGACCCTACTCTGGATTGGCAAACGTCACATATCATCGGACATGTTATTGTTAATTAAAAAAAAGAAGATAAAAAGTATGCAGATTTTCACATTGCTTTTTTTTCATCTCTTCATCCCTGCGCGTTATAAGACAGCGCTTGTAATTGCAATTAAATCGAAAATGCTATCAAGGCTTAGTAATAATGTATTGTTATGTAGTCATTAATCCAAGAAGTGCGCAATCAACACCGCGTATTTGTGGTATTATTTACAGAAAACTTGAAAGTAGAGTCGCGTCAACTAATTTATAGGAAAATTAATTATTACTATAGTGGCGCCGATTACACTTTCTTTAATTTTGAAACTTAATTATTGAAACGTGTGACTTCTTGCATGACAGAGCAAGAAGTAACTGAAACACAGGTCATTGAAAAAAGACTCGTCAAGTTTTTCAAGAATCTACGCTCTGATTCTAAACCCGTTGAAATCTAAAACAAGTAAGGACTAGCAGACCGGTGTCACCTTCAATAATAATTATTACACAAATGTTGTTGTAGAATCTTTTGACATTATGACGTAATAGTACTACTTAAAATAACTTTAGACAATACTAACAATAATAAACAGTCACAAACGCTCGAGTTTGTATTTCATAAGTAGGTTACAGAAACGTGATAGTCGTCATATTTTGGAGATTGAATATTTTAAGTACTTAATGCACGAAACATTTTACTCCTAATGGCCCAATATATAAAATGCAAATATAAATATTAGCGTGTTTTATTAAAAATTGTAATTGTTTTAATCACGTTCGCTCTATGTAATTTAAAAATAAATTATGGGACAAAATGTACGTCTAATTTTTTTTTATATAAAATTAAAAACTAGTTAGCATGAAATAGATTCGTTACATCTGTTATATTTAGTTATTGGTGAATTATTTCATTAATTGTCATAAATATTTAAGACAGTACATTTTGCAAATTTTTTTACGAACGACAATCGGCTCTACAGAAAGGCGCCACATAATATTAGTCACCGGCCTAGAAAAACCCCAGCTGTAATGCAAATGATTGTTACTAAATGGGCAAGGGAAGAAAGAGGTCCGGTTAGCATTTTGTTTGCTCCCCGTGGCGATGGGACGATACTTTTTCATGCGCGCCGAATAACTCGTCGGAGGCGCGATGACGTTCCTGCCGTCAATCGTTAACAAAGTTTATTAAATGCAGGAAGAATCATTAACAGTCTTTATCGCTAATAGCATATGTAATCGATATTAATTTTTTAAGACGTTTTAAAACGACGTAATTATTATAGAGTCGTGATAGCTCAGCGTCCGGGTGCTCGCGTTTAATTTAATATAGTAGAGCAACCTGAGTTCGATCCCCGACCAATGAAATTGTCAATTTTAAGTGCTGAATTATCACGTGCTCAGCGGTGAAAGAAAACATCGTGAGGAAACCTGCATATTTTCGAAATAATAACAAAAAAAAAGAATAATTCCATTCCATTGTGAAGTCCGCCAATCCGCAATGGGGCCGCGTGGTGGCCCTAATGCCCTGATACCTTCTGTACAGAGGAGGACTTTGCCCAGCAGTGGAACATGTATAGGCTGATACTTTAGTTAACTTTATGACATATTCGTGAAAATCGGACATTAATTAAAACAAACCTTTAACAACTTATAAATATGATTACGTATTGAATTAATAAACAGACTGACTGTTATAAATTTGTTACATGTAAATAAATGTGATAATGCAAATAAGGTAGCCGTTCGAAACTTAGATGCTGACTCCCAGATTACATTCATACATATAATTGCGATTGCTATTAGCTCGCGGAGCAACAATATGGCATCGGGTCGCATTACGTTTCGGCCGCATTATACAACTGTCGGCGCCATTTTTGATTTTCCGAACGCAATTGGCGCCAAACAGCCGGCTGCGCGGGCCACGGCGTAGGTATCCGAGCGGCGAGGCAGCGCGCCGCGCCGGCGACGAGCGGGGACGCCATGGCGACCGGCGGCCACCGCTGCCAATCCACTCCTCGCTTTATTATACTATAACTGCTCATATGCCGCGTGCAAGTTTTATTCAGGTATCGGTATGTGCAAATTATCGTCGGGCTGTCGAATTTTTCCGACGCTACTCGGTCCCAACTTGCTTGTTGGTACAATCTGATGAAGACATTCCTCGGCATAATTGTGAAATTATGAATTATGATTTTATTTAATTAAGATGCTGTACTGTAAAGGAAATCACAGGCTTATGAGTACCTATGCGTATAGATAAATCTATTTTATTTTCAAAAACAGATTAAAACCATGACGATTTTTAAATATGGCATTAGGGTGCGTTTCATTTCTTGTTGACTCTATACGACATCAACGTGAAATAATTTTATATTTGTCACAATAACAACTCAACTTTACAGCTCTAGCTGAGATATACGTCTTTTAAAATCTGATTGAAATATGTGTAAGAGTCAACACATTAAAGCTAATAATGTCACGTAATAACAAATTGATATAATTAAACATTAAAATATGTAGAAAAGCAAAGATTAGCACTATAAACAATTTAAATTTCTAAATTGATATAACTTTAAAATATGTAGAAAAACTTGATATAACTTGTTAAAATCATGTAATCCATAGTTTAACATTAATGTTCTATGAACCCGACATGTACAGATGATGCATGTACAGGAAGGAGGGTTCTCCTTCCTGTACATGCAAGAGAACGAGATTATATAAACTCAACCGTCGCAAACACACACGCGTTCATTATTCGCCAACGGAACGTCGATGTCGATTAATTCCGGTCGCCACGACCGGCGAGCGAATCGAACCCCTCAAAGTTTAACAGACGGTGACATTGGAGTGGCGTTCGCTATTCTGATATTTTGTTTTCGGCAACAATTTCTTTTGATTGAGCGAGTCGGGCGGGATGCGACGGCGGCGGGGCGCGCAACGCACGGATGCCAGGCGCCATCTTTCGGGCGCCAAAGCCGTATAAATAACGAGTGATGATAATTATGTCGGAATTGTTTCATTTGTCTTATAATTCGTGTGTATTGTATTGCCAATGTTGAATTAAGATGGAAACTAATATTGTTTGGAAAGAACTATATTTTTTATTACCGAAGTTTCTCAGTGGCGTTTGCAGAAAAAAAACTTTATTGTTGATTTATTTTAGGTCGTTGTGCCTATTTGTATATTTCTTGCCAACGAGACAGTAGCTTAGTGAAAATTTTAATTATTACCAAGTTGCTTCTCTTTAAATTCTGTTTTCAATATACAATTGCCTCAGACGAGATTAATTTGAGTTCACTATATACAAGAACAGAAAAAAGTCCTTAGGTAGTACTGTATACATGTGGAGGCTACTTAGAATCCCATGCAGCCCTTTTTCAAACTAAAGCACTGACGTTAATCATACACTTTTAATACCCTAGTTTACCCATGCCCATTATTTTGCCCTCTACAATAGTCTAAACAGGATAAATATAAATTTTAAAAGGTATTTGCTATTTAGAATAAAATTACTTTGGCATAAAAATAAATTAAAAAGCCTTTAAAATGATTTAGTATGAATTTTAATGTTTTCATCGCCTTTCACAACTCTGAAAGCTTAGCTATTACAAATAGATATTTATTACAATGTTTTTACGTACGGCGGTCTTCGATTTTTTTATTTCATCCATTCAACTTTTTGAGCGAAGAGCCTTTGTTCGAAGCGGCAACGTGTCGGGAGAACATTAAGTTGTAAGGTTACGTTCTCTCAGCTCCATTCATAATTTCACGGGGGGCGCTACATAAATACGCTCGTTTGCGACGTTTCGCGCCATTCCATACACAATCGGCGGTAATGTCGGACGTCGTTGCCATATTGGAAAATAAACGAAAATCGCGAACAATAAATCACTTAGGTTCAACTATTCATAAAATTACGAAAGTTACACATGAAAATAGTTAATGACTCTTGGTATTTGTGATAAATAAGGTGTTAATCTCTTGTTGGATGCTCGGAAAGTTTGAATGGGTATGTCTCCCTATTAATGGCTTCAGTGTGGCGATGTCAAGTTGAAACTTTTGGCCTTTAGTATGATGTTAGAGTAATTTGTTGCAATTAATTAACCAAGCAGCTTTTGTTTTTTTCTTTGCAATATTGAATCAAGAAGACTATAACTTTTATTGTTACTTACCCTATCTATTATTATAGTTAATGTGTTGAATTTAATATACAATAAATGTAAAATACAAATAAAATAATGCATTATGTAACTTATGAGAAAAGAAATAATAATGCCGGTCTTCTGTGAGGTCGTGGGTCCTTGAACGGACCTTCCCATTTGTGCGACAGCGAGAACTGTTGCGTGGACCTACTGCAGTTAGTTTAGTTATTTTTTAACAATAGTTTAAAGAAATGGTTTTTACAGAAATTAAATATTTGAAAACAAAATTTGCCAAAACTTTAACGTCACCAATGTCAATTAAGAAACACGAAACATTAGGATGAAAGTGATGCGAACCTATGCATTTTTGCCCAACGTACCTACAGAAGTTTTCACTTTTTTTTAATTTAATTATGGCTCGGCACCATTCGTGCATTAAGCCAGTGTCAAGTATTTTACATTTTTTAAACAAAGCGAGGGAAACGTATAACGCGAATTAAAATAAAAGTTTTCACTTAAATATTTCTTTAATAATCCGATATCTATAGGAAAACAACGAAATTGAATTTTTCTTTCAGTGCAATCTACTTAACTCAACTTACTAGTAAAAGAGAGTGCAAACCTACCACTATTATAACAACTTTTGTCTATTTAAAAAAGTGGTGGCGAGTTCAACACCTAGCAATTTTTAAAACTTCGTAGAACGTCGTATTAGCTACTTAGGTACCGTCAATTTTTAATGCTTCTCCATGTGTATACTACTTATTAAGGTGTATTTAATCAATGAATTAGAACTGATTAGATACGTACGACCACGAGTACAAGTTATTTCCGACATTTAATATATGAATGCTGAGAAGTAATAGAAAGTACTTCCGACTAAAGCAAGAAAACTATAAATTGAATGTGGTTAATTTAAAACTATCTCTGCCTCTCCTAATCACGGCAATATGTGTCAAACTTATAAATAAACCTGTAAAAAAACAAATATTTCATTGCCATTACTTTTTAGAAATAATACGCTTTTAAAAATAGTTGCTGCTGTATCGTTGCCTATCTTCTAAGTTCATCGCGAAGTTTTTAAGCTTTCAAACATTAAATCATTTGTGGTAGATTATTTGAAATGAATATGAGTATTAACATACAAAAAGAACATTAAAAAAACGTAGAAATACATAGTGGTAATGAAGAAACGTAGAAATACATAGTAGTAATGAAGAAATACATATCAGCGCCCTCTATTGATAAATGTCGTAACAACTAAAATAAGCCTGCTTGCGTTAGGTAATATTTAAAACCGGAAAAATATATAACTTACACAAAATTGGCAATTGTTTTCTATATCAAGTTACAACTGTTGTTTGCTAATAAATCATAAAGGAAATCGAGTTACGAAGAAAAAATTAAAAAAAATATTAATTTATTTACGTGATTTATTATGAGTCAACCTAGAGAAATTAAGAGGTAGGTTAAAAAATGTAACGCTGTAATTTAATATCGATAAATTTTTCCTGGCCTAGACTTCTAATCCTTTTTTAATTTACGCGTTTGAAGGTCAAAACTATAAAACGGTAACGCAAACAGAGGAAGCAAAATACTAACAACCTCTAACCGTGGTTGTAAGCCTAAAACTTAATAAACAGGTAAAAAAGTACTTCACACACAGCGGTCCATAACAGTGAAAAATGCACAAGTTTCAATACGTCATTTGGATTGTAATACACGACTTAAGATTGAGACTCTAGGTACCACCCCACTGCCTAATCGTGGGAGCTTAGCGGTTGTAGCTTTGCTATTCTACGCATGGTAGACTGTACCGGATTCCTTTCGCCGAATTTCAAACTGTTTTACACTACGGGAGAGTCTTATGGACAAGGGAAGCAATTTTCCCTCCTTGTTTATAAAAAACACCCTAGGCAATTCGATTTACTTTAAAACCCGTATACAGCAACATGCTGAAGCACATCTTCTGTCACGTAATAGACCTTGTGAAATGTATACCGTCTCTCTCTTTTTTTATTCGAGTAATAAACAAAGTCCTTGCTTTTAAAAGATATTTGAAAATTATTTAAGTCACTCTTTATGATTAGTTTTATTTTAGTGCTAGTCTTTGCAGTCAAGATGCAACTTAAAATGTGAATTTAAAAAAATATATTTTTTTAAAAAGTTCTACAATTTTTCTAAATGTTAGAAAAAATTTTCAGTTTCAAATTTTCCATAACTTGTTCAAATTTTGTAACTTAAATAGGTTACAGTAGTTAGCGTTTTAATAATTTTTGCGGCGTTTACGTCCGTAAGGAAATCAAAATGTCACACTTAAACATAATTTGTTCCATCCGATTAATAAGATGTATAGGTACCAATGGTGACAAATCACAACATGATTTAGGTATTTGAGCTATCAATATCAAATGAACATATTAAATAAGCCCTGATATCATAGTCTGTACGCTCGCTTTTCATTCAATATACTCGAGCAACCCGAGTTCGGACCCCGGAAGTGCTGACTTATCACGTGCTCAGCGGTGAAGGAAAACATCGTGAGGAAACATGTGTATTTTCGAAATAATAACAAAAAAATATTTCAAAGATATGTGAAGTCCGCCAATCTGCAATGGGACAACGTGTTGGACTATGCCCTGATACCTTTTGTACAGAGGAGGTCTTTGCCCAGCAGTGGGACTTTATAATAAATATATTAAAAACTATGCACGTGGATTGTTTTGTGACAAGGCTTAAGTAGCATAAGTAATAAATAGTGTTAGGGAGGAATAATTATTGTATGTAATTGTTTATTAAAATTCGTGAAGAGTACTTGATCCACATGTGTTGTCATTATTATTTTTATCTCCATTTATATGTACATTTTTCATGACAGTGAAACGTTTTGTTTCCGTTGACAACTTTTTCGCCTCTACGGGCGTATTTCCAACTGACTATTGTAAGGGCCGTGTTTTAAAGACGTACGGATATATGCGCTGAATGATATTCGCTCGATGTTGAAGCTTCGCGAAACTTCTGTTTCTGACCCAGTCCAAACATTGGCTGTATCTGCGCCAAGCCACGCGTCTTCCGTATATGACTGCGGTCGCCCGTAATGCTGTACTAACTTCAACCGGATTTTGATATACAGCGTGTCGTTACCATCGCGACAATAAATGAACACACGTCTAACGCTACTTGCCAGTAATCATAAAAAAATATTAACGTTAAACACAATCCATAATTAAACAAAAATATTTTTCAAACAAACTAATTCAGTAAAAAAGAAACAATTTGTAACACCTATAGAACTCGAGCCACAGCGTCGCATTACAAGCATCTCCTTCTAACAGTATGTTTTGTCTCTTTTAAATTCATTCAACCCATTCATATGCTTTGTGACCTTTACTAATGAACTTTACGTTACAGTTTCATACGTAAGGATGTTCTAAAATTGTTTGTTTTGGAAAATTTAATAACTCGGTTAATATTAATGTTTAAAGAATGTAAACGTTTAATACAATTTTAAAAAGTTATCCTCTATATGTGTGTTCATTTATTGTCGCGGTGGTAAGTATATTCGGTTACTAGCTGCTGCCCGCGACTACGTCTGCGTAGAATAGGCTGAAGGCGCAACATTCAGATAGAAAGACAGATATACATAAAATATAGCCTATGTCTTATACTGATGTATAAGCTATATTATTGTAAAGTTTCATTAAAATCCATTCAGTAGTATTTGCGTGAAAGAGTAACAAACATCCATCCATACATACAAACTTTTGCGTTTATAATATTAGTACGGATTACAAGCCGGAACCAATGACGTTTTAATAAAGATGACGATATCACGATGTCCATACTGCAAGGCTTTTAAAAGTTGTTCCGATTTGCATCATTATATTAGTGAATGTGACGTTCTATCCGTATGATACGGAAAGAGATAGCAGACTAATCAATTGCGATAATTGGAACGAAATCTACCTCGTTTTTGTATATAATTATTTAGCTGGAACTATTTATTTATATGACATGCATCTTATTACCCGGTCACTTCACCGCCTACAATATTTGCCAGTGAACTTATTATCTCGCACTCAGAAACGTCAACGTCTATCGCTCTTAACAACAATGTCTGGACTTTTCAAATGGACGAATATAATTTAAGTGCTCTGAAGTGACGGTGCGGCCGTGAGACGCGTTATCGTGGTGTGACTATTTCCATTACGGGGGTGGTGGTAAAAGACATCTGCTATCACTGACACCCAGCAGCTGCGGAATAGATGCCCGTAGAAGGGTCCCTCAAGGCGTTAGCCTTTGGCCAGGGAAGTTCACTGCCGTCATTAAGTCGATAATGAAGATACGACTTGAAACATAAGCTGGGGGCAGCGTGCCTCGTCCACAGGTGTGACGGTGGGGCCCTGGCGGCGCGGGGGCCCATTGAGGCGCGTCAGCCAGCGCCGAGATGCGGCGAGATTCGCCCGCTATCGCCCGCCGCCGTAATTTATTGGCATGCTGCAATGTCGCCGGGCGGCCGCCCGCTACCATAGAGCAGGCCGCGCAGACACGCGAGCTCCGCTCAGGGTCTGGGTTCAATTCCATGCCGGAAGATGGCTACAGTGTCGCGAATACGCGTCGCACCGGCTAGAATATTGTTTGCTGTTTTTTTTTTTGTGAGAAGGTGGCAAGAGAGCCGTGGAGGAAAAAGTATAAAAAAACTATCACTATTAAATTGTCTCCCAGAGGCTATCCGAAAGTATCAATCGAAGCATGTACCATTTGTCGTGTCTCCGTTAGCTAATATGTACTGGGTGGCGCCGCACGCACACAGCCGCGCGCACCTGACGCCGCCGGTGGCGCCAGCCGACCCCGCCGCCCCCAACCCATACCTCAACCCCGCCACAGTGTTGCCATTACTAAGGGTCTTACCACAAATACGGGTGGTTTTGTTTTGTTAGTTTTTCTCTTATGTGTACATTATTTGCAAACGGTTGTTAGGGTACCAAGATTATTATAACTTCGAACGAAGAGTTTATTTTCCTTAGTGATTATGTGACTTTTTAACGTTCTTATATTTTGATACGATATAGTTAGTGGATTCAATATTAGGATATAATATTAAGATTTAATTTAAGTATAATAAATGTTCAAATGAGTCTTTCATATAGTTTTTAACAGGTGTTTTCGTCTTATTTCTTTCGGATAAGCAAATAAGAAAACTTTACAGGCGTTTGTCTATGAAATCAGATAATAAAAGTTAGAGAACGCAACTTGGCATTTAATATTCTGCGTATAGCAACGAGGAAAATTATTATTTTACATTCATATGATTCTGCAAATACGAGTTAAGTTTAATAAAATACTGAATTAATTTGAACATTAGCCAATTCCAGACACGTATTGTTAGCAATCGAATTTATAAGTGGCACTTTATAAAAGGCCATTGCATGTAAATATTGCATCATTTTTATTCATCGCGTACAATTAATGCGAAATTTTACAGAAATATCAGTCAATTACGCGGTGCGAAGCGGTGGACAAAAAGGAATTAATGTCGCAATTAATTTTAAGGGGACCTTAAACAACAGTTACCGGTCTGCATTCCGTGATACGACAGTGCCACAATTCAGGGCGACATACAGTCCTTTGTTTTTTGCCGAACACAATTAGCGACAGATATAAAAACATCGATGCAAATTTACGACCATCGGCTACGGGTGTGTGTAGTGTGTACATTGCGCGGCGACGAGCGATGCGGTACAGAGAGAGGGGTGCGGCCGGCGCCTGAGCACGAGATTTCCATAAAAATTGTCCGACGACAGACGAACTGACGAACGGTGAAGAGAAAAAAACCGCCGAAACGGAGGGAGCCGTGCGGCCGGGGTAAAGGGCGCGCGCAGGTGTCGCTCCGGCGGCGGCCGCGGCGCGCCAGTCGTGCGCCGGCACGCGGCGAGTGATGACGCGCTGGCAGCGGCGCGTGCTGCGCGCTACGTGACGCCGACGGCATGTGATGTTCCGGAGGCGCGCGCTGCGGCGGAGGCTGGCGGCGGCCGGCGCCGCCGACGTGCCCGACGACCAGCTGCGGCGGCTGGCGCGCGCGATCGACGCGGGCCCCGAGGGCGCGGCGTGCGTGCCCGCGCCCGCCCTACGGCTGCCGGCCGCCCGCGCCCTCCGCTTCCCCGACCTGCGGGACCTGGCCGAGCTGCGCCGGCTGCCGCGCTGCGCGGACCACCGCTGCTGCAACCCGCACCACTACAGCAGACTCTGCGAGCCCGGTACGTGACGCCCGCCGCCCGCCGCCCGCGCGCAACAAGTGCCGCTCTTGTGATCTCTAGTTAGCGCCGCGCCGCTGTGCACGTTCGCCCCGAGTGCTGGCCCGTGGCGTGCGGCTCCGTTAGAAAGTCGCCAGTCGGCGGCCGCCCGTGTGGTGAACCCTTATCGCATATTTGTTATGTTTTATCTCGACGCGCGCGTAACGCGGCGTTCCGTTCGCGCGTATGGATGTGCCCGTGCGTTCGTATTTTTCCATTTGGACGCGTGCGCGTGCCTGCACCGGCGCCGGTATCTCTGCGGGGCTGCGTTATCGTGCAGATAGATGTGCCGTTTATCGCCTCCGTTCGCCCCTGCGCGTGGCCGTGTCCGTGACGTCAGCTGGTGGCGGCTCCGGTGGCGCCGGTGGGCCGCGGCACGTCCGCCAACCCCCGTGGCGGCGTATTGTAAACATTGTCGCCGGCGCGGTCTATTAATAGCGGCTGACATCAGCGGCGGCCGATGGTCCGCGGCCGCTGGGCCCGGCCGCGCTAATCTGCCGGCCGAGGGTCGCGCCGCGATAACTGCACAAGGTCACGGCGCCGGCGCCGCTCTGCCGAGACGGCTGCGCCGCCGCTGGTACGCGAGCGACGCCCGCCTCGGTCCGGCCCGTACCGAACGCTTTCGTCTCGTCTGCGGCTTATTTAATTAGCAGCTGTACCGAGCGCGATCACCTGTTGCCGGCATGACTCGCCTTGTCGGCGACATTCTCATTCTGGCGCCAGCCACTCCGCTTCCTGCACCTCCATCGGCGCACTTCCTTCTCGCGTCTCGTTTGTGCCATTGAATTATTTAGACGGCAAATGAACGCGCGCCATGTGCTTCCCGGCCCACCGATTTGCATTTCGATTGATTCTATTGATTTTTGACCTCCAACGCCGATAGTGCCGCTATTATTAATGGCGCCGCGAAAACTTCGAACGCTCGCCGAATGTCCCGCGGCGTCATTTCTATTTATAAGCGTATTCCATTAGGCGCCCCGTTTAATTGTGCGTTACGTAATTGTAATTTGTTTGTGTTGGTATTTCATGGGATCGGCCGTTTCCGCCGCGGGACGCGTAGCGAGCCGTAAGAAAGTGAGTTTATTAGTCGGTGCCTTAACTGCTGTAGTTATTACTCCCACGGCCGTTCCACTAATGAGCCTTAGGATGCGGTGGCGCGGGCAACGGCCGTTAGCGGCCCACACCGCGCTCTAACACTTGTATGTAGGTGTTGACAATGCCTGTTAGCATATTAATTAAGAAGAAAGCCGGGAGATATTGAATTGAACGTTGGGCAACCGCCTCATGTGGGACGCTTAGATTGGTCACTGAACTCCGAACAAATTTTTACGCTCAATGCAATTGATCGCCGTCGCGTTTATTACTGTATAAACATATTTCGGGGAAAAAGTTACGTGATGCACAATATTTAACGTTATAAACCGCTCCACACTAAAACACGAAAAACTTTTTACTTTTGAAACATCGACACGATTCCGGCCCACTTCGTACCGCGCTTAACATACTAAACAATTTACGGGCGACAAAGTAGCTCAAATCGTAAGGCCGACTGGTCGCGAAGAATAATGTGGCATATCGGTGCTCGTAAACCCGTAAAGGCAACGGACTCCACTCTACCTGCGCCGACGCCAGATGACGGACTTCCGTAAACAAGTCGCCATTCAAAAGGTCCGAGTCGCAATGTGGCGGCGAGTCGCCGTCAAGCATCATCGGGTTAATATTCGGACCTCACCTGCGCGCTTTTTTCGCGGGCCCCTTGTCTCGGCCGCCGACTTTTTGTCCACTCACAGCGCATCGAAGTCGCCCCCGCAACTTGCCATTCCTTTTCGTGAATACGAGGTTATTTCAATACAAAACATTTCCTATTTGAAAGCGAACGCTGTAAACGTCTCGTATCGACGACCAACAAGTGCGACCAATTGTTCGCGCGCGCGTCCACAGATTATGTAAGAAAAATAACTAATTTTAGTTTTTTTTTGTCGATCGATGCTGCCAATTTGTCCTTTATTATTTTACGTCAATTCAAAGTTTTTACAAGCCTCCACCGGGCCATAAAAATGTCGTAAACTTAATCATCAACATGTTTATTTTTGTAGACACAGCTCATTTAAGTAAAATATTATTTTACGGTCGTTTCGTGGAATTGTTGTTGGCCGTAATTAAAATCAATTCATTGAGATTTTTATGTTTTCTCACGTATAGGTCTCGTCTGTTTTTTTTTTTGTGTGTTTTTCTCTGGACATTCTTTGCGTGGTTGGACATTCTATTCGTTGTAGTGGTTGGTGTCGCGTAAATATTTAGGTTCGAGTAAAAGTTGCTTGTTTAGAGAGCGAGTGCAAAATAGCAGGGCGCGTCAAAATGTGGATGCTCGTGCCGTATTTGCGAGTCGGCGCCAACGGCGGCGTCATTGTTTTTAAACGCTGGCGCTTCCCGAGAGGAAAGGGGTGGTGCCTTCTCTTATCGGGCGCGGGCGTCGATGAGACGGCAACCATGATGGGATTTCAGATCCCGACGAATCGTCATCTCCGCCTCTCGGTATTCTTCTCTTTCGCGCTTAATTCTAATAAATACGGCTTAGATGATGGTGAAAGATAAATTGATCAATCACACTCAACGAGGTAGTTATGGAAATCATATATAAGCTGTCGGCACGTGGGCCACCATAATGGCCGAGACAACTGCCTTTCTGTAATAAGAATTTATTTATTTAGTTGCAGCAACAGGGTAGACACCATCACGCTTAAGAAAAAATAAACCAAAACACAAGATTGGATTCTAATTGGATAGGGTAGTCTGATTAAACTCCGACGCATAAGTAAGCCATTAAGAACCCTCAAGGGACGTGGACGTCCACGGCGAGATCAAGTGGTGGTGGCGAGTGGCTCCAAGTGGGGCAGTCCGTCCGCTCGCCACATTTCGCCGCAAAAAAGTAGGGAAGGGGCGCCTCGGCTCGTGATCTCGGCGCTCCGCCGCCGCGCCGTGCCCGATATTTATTTAGCCATAATTGCTCGGCGGCCGAGTGGCGCCGGCGCCTGTCGCGACGCGCCGAGGGGGAGGGGCGCGCAGGGGGCGCCGGCGCAGGTACGCGGCCTCCCCCCCGCCCCTCGCCCCGCCCCGCCCCCTCTCCCTTCTGCCCCCCGCACCGCGCCCGCTCGGCGCCGCTTTTGTGAATGGTGACGCGTCCGAACGGATTCCGATGTTCGCTCTCTCGAATCCATTGTAGATCATTGTGAGGTTGATCGATCTTAATACGCACTCTTTTGTCGATTTTTTGAAGGATTCCCTAAACGGAGTGGTTCTCTAGTAGAGCGCGCACGGATTTGGTTACGCGTTGCATTCCACCGGCCGCCACGCTGGTTTTGTAGATCGATCTTAAGATACCGGTATGCCTTCATTATCTCTCGCCGGCCCCCTGGATCAAACACGGCTTAGCCGTTGCGTCGTTCTATTGAGACGACCGCGTCTTGTGTTTATTACTGACTGTTTGTACACGACGCCGGTTTGGACTAAGGACTTACGCCCGGTGTCTGAAACACTAATTGTTAAACTATTTGAATTGATCATTAAAATCATTCTGATCAATACAGAGAGTTGAACAATCCTTTTGGCAACTCAAATAACATTCGAAAAGCCCTGTGACAGCTGATTCGGTAACCTCTACGATGATCAGAGTTTCAGAAACGGGACTTTAGTCTAGTTAGTTACCGATGTAGTGCGGTTATATTTTCACGAGATTAATATAGAATTCATCAGTGAGGGAGGGGGCTTGCAAAATGCAGCTTTGCTAGACTAAATTTCGTTTTAACCACATTGTGTATGATATACGACAATCTTTCGTATGTCATACACAATTTGACGGGGAATCGAACGCTGAACGATTCGCTCGGCCCCTCTACCAGCAGTGGCATAATCCACCGGACCAGTTTTGATTCGCGTCGAAACTGTCGATCTGGTGTGACGGGCTCGCATTAATTTATGGGGCGCTTGGAAGAGAGACGAGCGCGTCCGTTGCGTCGATGATCTCATCACCTCGCTGTTTACGGTGACAGCGGGCCCATTGACTGTCCGCCACCTGACGGAACCGGTCTACCGTCGACCTCTGCCGGCCCCCCGGCTCCGTAATCTTGGCGGCCCGGCCTAGATCTTTTGCGACAGCGACCAACTCAGATCTCCTCACAAGACCGATGCAGGCTTCCGATCGGAAAGCAAGCGCTCGATATTAGTTTACATCCAAACGTATCGACTGCATTTGGCTTCTTGCCGCTGCAAATGCACTAATCATACTGAATATTTACAATACTCTTCAATATTCGAGTTCTGTAACGATCTACGCCAGCAAGATCGATTATTTATGGTTTGAACTGTACTATTTATTATAGATTTTGGTGGATTATGGTTCAATATAAGAATCCCAAATTGCATGGGTTAGATAAAAATCACATCAAAACTCAATTTTTTTTGCAAAGCGCAAATCGATCTTATTTCGTTAAAAATCGCGTTGCGTTTGTCTTACTTGCCTTACTATATTTCAGTTTTTGTTTATATCTCTTATGCAAAAATATACGTCGTAAAGTGATGACTCGGTGGCGCAGTTGCCAAGGTATTGGCTTCGGCGCCGAGGGTCGTGGGTTCGATTCCCACACGGGATAACTTTTTGTGTGACCCACGGATAACTGTTTCGGATCTAGGCGTTTGTCCATGTGAAATTTATATATGCAAAACATCCGTACAATACAGGATAATAATATCACAGTAGTTTTCATTTAAAAAAAAAAATAAGAAATAAGAAATGTATTTCAATTTCTTCCGGTCACTTTTTTCCGTAGGTACTGGTAATGGTAATATTAGACGAATGAAATGTTAGGCGACATTTAAAAATCTGTTTGTCGATGGGTTTCTAGAAAGCGATCATAGCAAGTTTATATACGCCAAATGAGATTTACAACAACTATCTGATACGAAGGGCAATGGACAGAGAAATCCACGAAATCGATTACAATTCACACGAAATCATTTTTGGGGCGGGGAGTGAGATTTAACGTGTGTTTTTGGGCCTCTATTCGTTTTGACTGCGCGTGGTAGACTTGACTACTCACTTTCCCTTGTTTGTTTACTTTTCTGTCAGACGAAATTGGACAAAATTTAGTCCTTAGGATTCCAGAATCGCATAGAAGATAATCGCATAAACTTGTTTATAGTACCCGTTTTTAGTAAATAATTTCATCTCCTTCGTTTGATATCTATTTTAGAGCGTGTAACAAGCCGAAATTATATGAATAGTTTTGAATTGTTGTTGACACGAGTTAAACGAAAATCTTTTTTAAACATTTGATAAATGATATTAATTTTTATAGTGCTATTCCCTGCAGTAAAGATGAAATTTAAAATTTGCAGAAAAATGGACGAAAAGATTTCCGTTGCTTAAAATTACAATTTCTTAAATTACATAGCTAAAAATTACATTGCTTAAAATGTAATAAATGCAACGTTGATAAATAATACGTTGAGATTTTCATCGGAGTGAGGATTTTATATAGGGTTATAGGTATATAAATTCTAAAATATTCGGTTACATAAAATTCGCTCCAAAAATGTTACTCACAAAACTTCACATTGAGGTCTAAACTGAATATGAGACACTAGGATAGCAGAAGCGCTAATGCATCTATCATCTATTGCCTTACGTAACTCGCGTTTACAACTCTCGGGGCAGATGTTATGCGTGGTCGATTATTGAAAACTATCGTAAGCGCGGATACCGTTAAAGACGGCCGGCTCGTTGCGAGCATTGTTCTTAGATGCGTCATCATTAACCGCACTTGGAGCACAGTTAGAGCTGCGATGGCGCAATGACTGGGCGTTTTTCGTACGACCGACTTCCAATCAAGAGCGACTTAATTATTAAATGTAAGGCTATAATATAGAGCCGTGATAGCTCAGTGTCCGCGCGCTCGCCGTTTTACCTACTTCAAAAAAGGAGGAGGTTTCTCAATTCGACCGTATAGATTTTTATTTATTTTTATGTGTGTTCGGGGATAACTTCGTCATTTATGAACCGATTTTGATGATTCTTTTTTTGTTGGAAAGAAGATACCATGATAAGGAACCCCAGATCTGATGATGGCATCCCAGATAAATCGAGAGCAATCCTCAAATGTTATAGGTGTTGACAATGCTTTTAACATGCTCTTAAAAAAACCGACTTCAAACATGAAATGTTGAAAACATTGACTCGAGCAACTTTAGTTCGATCCCTTGTGTCCAATGAAATTGTTACTTTTAAGTGCTGACTTATCATCACGTGTTCAACGGTGAAGGAAAACATTGTGAGGAAACCTGCATATTTTCGAAATAATTACAAAAAAAAATTCGAATATATGTTCAGTTCGCTAATCCGTAGCGGGGCCGCGTGGTGGACTTATTCCCTGACACCCTCTGTAAAAGGGGGATATGTATAGGCAGTTACTTTACTAAAATATAAAACCGGCCAAGTGCGAGTCGGTCTAGCGCACCAAGGTTTCCGTACCATTATCTATAAAAATGTCTGTTGTATGGGAGCCCCACTTAAGTATTCTCTTGTTCTGTTTTTAAGCATTTTTTTGTTATAGCGGCAACAGAAATACATCATCTGTTAAAATTTCAACTGTCTCATTATCGCGGTACATAAGATACAGTCTGGTGACAGACGGATAGACAGACAGACAGCACAGTCTTAATAATCACCCGTGGGTTCTTGCTAGCCCACCGGTTCTGCGTTCGATTAAGCTTTAATAGTCTAAGGACTGAAAGCGTAACATCACTTATACAAAATAGTCGTAGTAATAGGGTCCCGTTTTACCCTTAGGGTACGGAACCCTAAAATTGAACATTTGTTATGAATATCATAGCGTTATATCTTTATTAAATCTAAATTTGTAATTTAGTTTCATGTCGTTTTGCTGGTCGGAAACTGCCTCGATAAAATTCAGTTTGACGCGTGTCAGTTTTTGTGTATCCATGTAAAACCGGGGTTAATGCGTTTTAAACACCGAAATTATTTATGGAAATTGCGCGTTGTAATTAACGGAGCTTCATATAAATTTATATATGCATCCTGTTTTAATTAATACATTATGTTTTTGTTGGCTTTCTTTTTAAATTCAAAGATAAAGTCTAAACTTCTTTTTCAATATTGCCTTTTTTAAGTTCTTGTTGAACGTCGAAAAACTACCACCGGAATCTTTGCGGTCTCATATATGTATTTTTTATATTAGTATACAAAATTATCTAAGGATAAAATAAGCACCTGCTAGGAGACTTATAAGGCAGAGCTGGAGGTCATTACCACACACCCTTGTCTCCAATGTTTTATCTATATAGACCCCATTTACCACTACAATAGGTCCTATTTCCATTAGGGTAGTTTGTACAAAATGTTTGACATTTGTTGTTTGTGGATGTCACCTATTTCCTGTTAAATTAAGGTTTAAAAAGGCAGTTTAATTAAGGTTTAAAAAAGTAGTTAAAATAACAGAGTAACAAATCATTATTAGCGTAGTTTTTGGACTACCAGGGGCTCATAAATGTGGTAGTAGCGTTGCGATGACTACTTTTCCGTTTAACACGTGTAACAGTTAAGACACGCAATCGTATCGACTTTTCCCATGCGGGAGCGCCCAAACAGTCGCATATCTCGCTAATGAGTGTTAATTAATACTTCTAAGAGGCCGATATTATATATGTGTAGAGCAAAGCGGTCGGTCGGTCGTTGGATCCAGCGCTGTCGATATAATTGGGCATAATTAGCCACGGAGATTTCGTATCACCGCTGCCTACATCTTATTAAGAAAACAGAATCGAATGAATATTGTATATAGTCTTGAATGATAAAATTCATTTACGTATCGTTTCAAATTGCCTCGTGAATATGCCTTGGGGGGCATTTCTGCCCATCAAGTACTTGTAAGTGCATTGAATTTTCTCAGTTACACCTTTAAAGTAAATAGCAGCTGCATTGAGAATTTTTATTATACGATTTTTAATGATCTATTAAATCCGCTCAGAGTTCTTATGTAAATGATATATTTCTTTAAAATGTTTCCTTATTTCTCTTAAGAAACATTTGTGGATATAGATTTGTGGATATGTATTTGTGTTTATAGATTGTGTTCAATGTCTGTCAATCGTTCAATATTGAATGTACGCCGGTTAAACATTTACGATTTCAACAGTTTAACCTCTCGTTACCGCTGTCAATTAACAGATCTCACTTAGCCACCTTAGTTAACTTCGTGAGTAATGCGTCCAATTTGTGTGATTCAAAAGTTAAATAGATGCGTTATAGAGCGGTGAGCTTTTTAAAGGTGCCGGATAATCTTACCACCGTTGTGGGATGTCGCCAGCCATGGCCACGGCCCTCGAGCATTGACTCCTATAGCCACATGCCACATCTCGAATGCGACGGTATCGCTTGGGACCGATATCGGCTCGCCCTCTCGAGTTACGTTCCACGAAGCGTCCATAGAATTTCAAACGAACGCATCGAAATAATGCGGACGCGATCAGAATACTGCTTATACGCGATTTGTTTGAACGCAGTTGGTAAGTACAGTGGCGGATTTGCCCTAAGGCCCAGTAGGCCCGGCCCTATTGCTGCCAGATTTTAGGGGCTGCTAATCGTTACAAAAAACTCAATGACGATCACAAGAAACAACTCAAAGTACCTAAATATTCTAAACGTTTAACGATAATCTTCCTAAACCATGATCTAAATTCCTTTAGGGTGCGTTAGGGAGGTATACGGAAATGCCTAGCATGTTCTGTTTCGCGAGGACAGTGTGGATTTTGCGCGTTAATGTTATATTAGTATTGAAGGTATAGCGATCACGGGTGACTTCGGAGGCCTTGAGCAGGTGTCGTTGAACTCTGTAAATCACTTTTATCTTCGACAATCGCTACGGTAGCTTGATAAAACGTTCTGAATGTTATCGATGTACTTTGAGGTCGAAGAAATTCGGAAAGTAGCCTCGAATACTAACAAAAACATTTGTTTTGAATAAAAAGTCTGTTAATATCAGTGACTAAATACGACGCAATACCGCATCAACAAACTTCAAAAAATAAGGAGAGATGTTTTTAATAATACGACAAAACAATAAAATTTTTAATTTAATTGTTTTGTCGTATTTGCTGGTTTTTTACAAAATCAAAACGGAAATTCACAAGCAATTAAATGATAATAACCCATGTGAAATCACTCTGTTTACTAAGCAAAAATACAAAAATTTAAATAATGACTACGGAGAATTAGATTACAGAATTAAGTTTATTGTGGTCTATTAAATTGAAAAAAATAACAACAATAAGGGCTAGACCTTTATAAACTGGTTCATCGTTCATTTGGTTTCATAATAATAAATTTGCAGTAGTTGCTAATTGGAGGGACTTTTCCTTTACATTACTTTGCATTACCATTCTTGTAATTCAAAGGCCGACACTGTGGTCTGTTGTGGCGGACGTAAATAGACTTTGATGATGTCTCCATCGGATGAGGTGGTTTCTAGTATACGTGTTGCCTTATCTATAAAATACGAATCTAATGTGCAAATACAGTCCACAATTATTACCGTAGCAGGGCCAAGCATCCGCATCTGTTGCACGAATGGGCAGACTCGCCCGGGGAAATACCGCGGCCTCACAATAGACCGCTGTGAAATGGTAGTATTTATACTTTCGCGTTTCCTCTGGTGGTTCCAGCGGGCTCCACTTTTTAAAGCCAACAAGTCCTCAGGCGTTGTAAATGTCAACTGCATGCTGGCTTGAGAACTTTTGACATAAAAACAGTTTGGCGGTTGGACAATGCGTGACAAGGGGTCGAACTGTCAAAGCCGATGTGACGTTTCGTCCGGCTGCCACCGACTGCATCCTGGTGCATCGTCGGTCAGTGCGCGTGTGTTTGTTAGTTTCCTGTCGGACTTAATGAGGGGGCGGGCGCCGAGAGGCGGGCCCGTATTATAATTACCGCGGCCGGCGCGCGCGCAATGCACCATGCATATTTGCGATCGACGACGCCTATCGTTGCATCTCGCGTAACGCCTATTGGTATTAATTGACATTCTTCATCTGATTTTGTGATGGCCGCTGCCCTTTGGTACAAGTAGGCGCTGAAAGTGGGCCTTAATTACGTCACTCAGTAGACGAAATGCATAAGTGTAACACTTCCACTTCCGTGATGTCCTGGTACTTTACCGGAGGGACCTGTCCATTCGTGCTACATCAAAGACTATTGCTTGGCGCTAACACAGAAAAAAACACGTTCTCTGTGCCGTTTCTCTTTCTGTTCCTAGAAGGGATTTTTTAAACTTCTTAATCCCCTTGTGTTGATGACTATTTGCAATTCGTTAGTGTCGACTCGACTCGTCTCAATCGTGCTTATGAAAGCTTGATACGGCGTCTTGTATGACAGTCGGTTTGTGTGAGTTTTGTTGACAAAAACGTACGCAATTCCTTTGGGTGTAGTCCTGTTCTCTATGCCATAGCTTAGGCAAATCAAATGGATTTATTAAATTAATCGCTCCTCGATCCAATGGAGAGATGGCCTGGGTGTGCGAGAGAGACGCCAGATTAATATTCAGTTGGTCAGCTCACGAGGTGTGTCGATACGAGGACGCCTACCTTAAATATAGCGTGAGACGAATGGGACAGCTGACGCATGGTTGTCTTGACGCCGTTGGCTCGCCGAGCCTGCTGCGTGACTGTCCCATTCTGAGCGTGGACAGAGTTACATATCCTGTAACAACAGGAATTGCCGTTAAGCGTTGTTGTTGCGTTTTATTTAGAACGCCTCCCTTAATCATGAGCTCGGCAATTGTATTTTCTAACTCGTATTGATTGGTACAATCTTTATTAGCTTCCCTAGGAATATTGAGAGAAATAGTCGGACTATTTCTCTCAATATTCCAGGTGAAAAAAATACTGGGTCGATACTGGGTACGAGTCGGATTCGCGCACGAAGAGTTCCGTCCCCAGTATTTACAAAAACGGCAAAAATTATGTCTGTTGTATGGTAGGAACACTTAAATATTTTAGATTATATTTTTATAGTATTTATTGTTATAACGGCAATAGAAACACACATCGGTGAAAATTTTAACTGTCTAACTATCCGAGTTCATGAGATACAGCCTGATGATAGACAGACAGACAGCGGAGTTTTAGTAATAGGGTCCCGTTTTAATCTTTGGGTACGGATCCCTAAAAATTACCTAATGTATACGATATAAATGAATTTATCAAAAATACTTTTGTACATTGTAAATATGTAGTACGATACATATTGTTAGTTTAACGCCTTTAAGCTGTGCTTATTTCACTCCTCACGTTGAATTGATGTTTTGGTATTGCGACACTGCGAATCGAACATAGTTACACAGCCGTGACTAATCGCGGAGTCATTCAGCTTGATCAAACTTTCACCGTTCTTTCGCGGTACAAGTATTTTGGCATGACCGGAGCCCTATTTCCTCTGCCTTACTGGTTGGGCGACGGCTGCTTTGTGCGTCACAACTTAGTGCTCAGACTTGTTAACACTCGGCGAACGCGGCGGCGTTATCGTTTGTTTATGTCGGTGTGAAGAAAAAGCACAAATTTTATTTTGTCCGCGGTCGATTGAAATATGATCGATAGATCTTTTGCAAATTCGGAGAGGAAATATTGGTAAGCTAAAGGTAACATCCAAAAACAGTAATAATTAAAACGTTTTTTTTTCTCATGCTTTTATTAAGGAAAAAATGATAACCGGTTTTCTAATTTAAAACGGTTTACAGAACTCACATTTCTTTCAAATCATGTTTACTTATAAAAACCTTTCAGCTTAGCTTAGGCACTTGACCGCTTAGCAAAGGCATGTTATTGGTCTTTAATGTATTGTCAAACAGCGTTTTAAATTGTTATTTAAATAAAACTACAAACTTTATCGGCGCTGTATATTGATTTTAGTGTCTTAATTCCCTGCCCCGTTCTTGTTGGCGGACATTACTCACTTTTTTTTTAAGCACGAACTTCCGTGATCATGATGTATTTCTGCATATGTCTCAAAACATTAGCGAACATATGAGACACAAAATGATTGTCACTCACTTAAGATCATTGCCTTTATTTCTCCGTGCAAACACAGCGGCACAAAGGCGGACGTACAGGCATAATGCATCGTTCGACCTTTGCCTATCGCAGGTGAATCGGGCAAAGTAAACCGTTCGTCGACAGTTAAGGCCCATTTACACGGTGCCAGTTTCTTGCCTGTTGTATACAATTAAATTGAGGCAATAAATGAGTTGCATGGTCTAAACAACACATAACATTCTTGACTGTTGAACAAGACTTGCTTCAAGTTTTGTTTCAAAACTTTCCTTGATGTAAACAGTACACACAATAATTTCTTAAGCAATTCTTGTATTCAATTGCATTCTCTCTTCCTTTGCAAACATGAGTGCGATGAGTGAGGGTGTTTAATCGTTGCTGTTCTTTTGAGGCAAGAAATATTGAGAAAAGGTCGTAAAAAAAGTTGGACGAGAAAATGAATGATAATATATGGATAATAATAAATAAATCTGAATGAAATATATTAAATCTGCATAATTTAACTTGAACACTTATCTTTGACACATTTTTTTTTAAAAATAAACAGCCTTTTCAGAACGTTCAACACTTGAATGAAATATTTGTCAACGCAAATACGTGCAATACTTGAAGCAACACGCCAATAAATTGTACACGCACATACAACCATGTGTTTAGACAAGTCAAAACTTGAAAGCAATAATCGCCTAAACATAATTGCATTGGTGTAAACAAAAGACATTTGCAATTATTTCTTGTCAAGACTTGCATACAATAATCGCATTCAATTTTTTTTACTATATCTGCGTGTAAACTGTTGCTTACAATTCTTGATGGTCAATTATTGCTCTTTTATGTACAAGAAAATGGCATCGTGTAAATGGGCCTTTATTTTGGTCGCATAAGTATTTGCTCGGCTATGGTTATCGGCGGTGCCGTGAGCGATTGTTCGACGCGTCGCCGCCGGTGGACGCGTGGGCCCGCCGGCCGAGCGGCGCCGACGCAGGCGCCATCCGACACGTTATAATTCGGGCGGGGGGCTATTTCGGGCGATTCACACGCGTTCCTCGCGCGTACATACGTACGTGCGGCTAGGCGGTGCTTTTTTTTAAACGCCGCGCGTCCACGCCGCCCGCAGCGTGCGGCCTCAGCGCGCCGTTACGAAATCGCTCCCGCCCGCTTTTTGTTTTTTTTTTTTTTTTTTTTAATCTGCCCATTTATCATGTTCATTACTCTGTGTAACGCGTCCCATGTGTTGACACTTACGCTCCTGTCGGTTAATTGATTGTGCATCTTTTAAAGAGTGTAATTTACTGCATTTAAGCAACATTAGGTTTGGAATGCGTCTTAATTTCGGAGTAAATTTGATTTGCTTTATTAACCTTTAAGAGAATTCGAAACGTCATTCTCCAGAACGTTCCATAGCGTATTTTAGTGATTCAACGCAATCTAACGCTATCATTGACTCCGAGCCTCTTAAACCGAGTGTGGTTTAGTTCTGCATCGAATTTATGAGCTATTACGACCGATTTATTGTTTGTTTATTGTTTTTCTTACGTACGGCCGGGCGTTGTTTATTCCGGCGCGATATCTTCGGTTCTCCGTAAGACCGCCTGTTGCACGTGCAAATAGCCACCGCCATTGTGTTCCGTCGCCGCCGTGCCGTTCACAATGGGGCATCGCTTCGTTTCTCTTCTGGCGTCGTTCCTGGATCGAGCCGTCGCGAATATTTATCGTCCGCTAACCATTTCTAAATTCCGAATTCGATTGTTAGTGTCGATTTTACATTCTTCTTGTTCAATTGTCAATACTGACTGTTCTGACCGCCTGTTTCTGAATAGCAAAAGGATTAAGCTAAAACAAAAACGATAAAGCGACGGACTTAGAGTTGAATAAGAGTAGATAAAATCGACAATGCAGTTTTCTACTCCAGTAATTTCATATGCGTCAGACAGTTTTTCTCTTACAAACAGGTTTTGATTTTTACGGAGAATATGGTAAACGAACAATTTATACCTTAGAAATTCAGCAAAATAGAAGCGGTTACAAATACTTCGTTGGCCCACTAAGAATTGGCACCTCTTAAATGTTTGCTATTTTAATAATTTCTATGGTTCTTCATTGTAATAGGATTCATTGACCACATTCAGCTTAGCCACTCCATGGTATATAATTATATATGCACGTCATCACATAAGAGGCAGGCACCTTTGTAACATGTATTATCTCTTGCTACATTGTTGTCAGATATGCAAGTTCCGTTTAGACATATTTTTCTGTACCAGACAGATGGACATTATCATATACACAAAAATTCATCAACCAACGAAAATATTTCTAATAACTCTGCCCTTGTTTATTTTATTCGACTTATAACGATCTGTAATGGTGATTCTGCGATTGCCGTTGTTTTTAATCACTGAGGCAGTAACAAAGAAGTCAGATGCTCACGGAGTTCTGTGAACGTGTCAATTACTGAGTTGATATAAAATAGAATAAAATGACTCCACACTTCTTCATCCGCGTCTCTATCTCATTCGTCTGAAGATACAAGTTAAACGTTCCTTAAATCGCTATAAGCTATCGATTGATTAGGTGTTGCCATTAGCAAGTAACTTGACCGCATTAGGGCCGTCACCGTTTTCGCGGAGAAAACGATGCGAACACCCTCATCATTCGCGCGGCGAGGTGCTCGGCTCAGGTAAACTTGGCTCCGTTCCAGGAGTCTTAGCATCACGACACCAGTTGGCACCGGTCCAATATTAGCGTAGGTTTTTTGGTCAAGCTCCGGATAAGGTAAATTTCAAGCCAATAGAGCACAGCCGTCGCATGAGCGGATAGTCTATGCCGTTCTTAATAATTGAAATGTCGGGAAACGTCTGCCGATCTCAAAATATGAATTCGTGAGAGTTCCAATTGAATTTCAACCTTATTGTTATTGTGTTAACGTACTATATCACTCGACGTTCCCAAAGTAGACACGCGCCCGTATTGGGATCTACGTATGCGGCCATTTAATCGCGTATGAGCCGTTTTACTTTCAGCTCTACTCCAGTTTCGGATTCAATTTTTAATTGGCCTCGTAAAGTGCACTTTATTTTTAAAGCGACAGAGTTTTTTTTTCCCCCACTAAAAACGTCGTATGACACATACGGCCGGGTTTTGAAAGAAATTTCAGTCACGCCATTCCATAATACAACATTTATGTAGATTTTTCGACTTGAACGTTTTATTAGTTACCGTGCAAGTCAAAACGCGTTCTATAATAAAGCTCGTATGGTCGATATCAGTTTGCGGCGCGAAATATGCACGCCCTCCGAAGTGGGCAAACTGATATTATTTATATCTGCTAGATGCCACGCTAGGCGTTTAGGGTCATTTACTTTCATTGCTTAGCGGTTTTCAGTGGCTGTCATTGCGTACGGAATGCAGTGTGTGAATCATTGCTGCAATGTTCTATATTATGCCCTGGCAAGGTTATTTGATCGTCTTCATTTCAATTAACTCTAGTAATGTATTGATGTATATGAATGATGTATTTTTTTTTTTTTGAGTTAAGTAGATGTCATCCATTTCTTAGTAATTACATAAACCACAGACATCTGCGTTGTTGTGGTTAAAGTATTTGAAACATTGCGCCCATCGACCTTTATCATTCACGCACAAGTGCCGTTAATTCTTTCGCGTTCACGGCATAAAACGGGCACGTCATAAAACGCTATTGAATTCAACCAGCGGCCGCGCAATTTGTATTCGCGCGCTGTCAAACAGTAAGAGGGACGACTTCACACGTCCGCCCCCGCTGGCGCCGGAATCGCAAATGCACGCTGCATGCATTCGGAATTCAGAACTAATGACGATCGAAATTCGAAATGACCAATAGCGCGTGCCGGCTCATTCGTAAATGGAATAGAGCGCGTTCCGGATTCAAACGACAACATTTCGGCGCGGCCAGTACGCGCGGAATGTGAATGTTGGACCGCCGGGCGGGTGTTATGTGCTGCCGGTACTTTATACTCAACACTCCGTGCGATGTTGCCAATTTTATTGGAAACGCCATTTCAGTTATTAATAAACATATTACTTAAGTATTGGTATTGCATTATCATAGTATTTTCTAGTTGAAATAAGACAAGAGATCCAATGGTATGCTGCCTCCAGTCTCCTGCTACCGAATTTCAAAGTTGTCAATTGCAAAAATATCTGATGCGATAGCAAAATTCTAACTATAACTAGGAATGAACGTTGCCGTATATGTGATTTCTGTGTGCCATATTACGAATTGTTCCAGACAAATATACCGATGAAACTGCACAGACGATTTATGCGAACATAAAATTCTCACAGCTTGACCTCAATTTGAGAGCAGAATAGATAAAATGGCCGCCTCAGCCCATCACAGATTAACTCCGAGCCCGCCAATTAAATAAAAAGACAAAATGCAGATAATACATCAAAATATAGGTTGCACGGATGGGCCGTTCGGACGGTCCTAATTGCTGTCTGGTATTTTATCTGGGCCGGTTGTGCCGTGTTTGTTTTAGGGCGCCTTCGTTTTTTGGGCCCGCGGGTAACGCGGTTGTTGATTGCCTTTAGGGAATTGAAAAACTTGTTCGTGGCTCTTTTTTTATTGCGGAGGGCACAGGCGGGGCCGCCCTCTCAGGCGCAGGATCAACTCTTGGATTAAACTCCCGACCCAAGGTTGACCGCTAACCGACTATTCTAGACTTCAGCTCATTTACGACTATAGGTTTCTTTTTTGGTTACCATACATTATTTTGTACATTTTATATACGTAGATTTATTTAAATTTAGATATTATTATAAATAACATGTTTTTGCCACATTAATTAATTATATGTTATTTTTTGTTACAGAAACCCCCCCTCCACCATACAGTCGGATCGTGATGGATGACGTGAAGCCTAAAGGTTAGCCAACATGTCTTAAACTATTCCTTGCGAATTTGACAAGCATTTGTCACTCCGTAGGAAATAACAAAAACAAAATTGTAATGTCGTAAACACTGTAGACGCAAGAAGCCGGACGGCGTCTAATTTAAAGCTATCGAGGTCGTAACAATGAGATATTGCGGTAATGTTGAGGTTTATTTCGTATAATACAGATAATAGATCGTGAGCGCCGAAAAGCGCGGGACAGAGGAATCCGGCCAAGGGGCCGCGGCGCCCGACTCTTCCTGGAAATTAGGGATCGCTAGTGATGTCCGTTCGTCCTAATCGACATACGACATTTGAAAATATTGTAATAAATTATCCGTTACAAATATTGTATGCTGTCAGTTTACTATTCTTTACTCAATTACTATTTTTTTAACCAATGTGTGTTGTGTTAATTTAGAGTTGTTGATTAGCGGCCCACATGATAGTAAATTATAATATAGTCTATGGTCAGCCTCTTTGTCAACACAGTTAATATTTAATAGTCGATAAGACGTGGTGAAAATAATTTCACTCCTTCGCGGGTACAAATACGTGTTCAAAATTCCCTGGATCACGGGTGGCGCGTTCAAGTGAAAATAATCTTGTTACTATATACACTTTCTCATGAACAGTACAGTTGCGAAACACACCCGTAGCGACGATAATAGCCGATCATAAAAATTTAATGGCTATAAATGTTATTAGCCAGGCAAACATTATGCGAATGACGCGCCGGTCTCGCCGCGTGAATTATGGCACACTTTAACGTGCGATGTAAACATGATAATGTATGAATACTGTTTTGAATTGAATAAATATCGTGAATTGATCGAGTGGCGCTCAGCACTAGCGGAGCGGGTCTCGGCGCGCGCATTCCGAGCCCGGCGGCCATCTTTAAACTACATTATTAATGCTTACGGCGGCACGGCGGGCACTGGGCTTTTTTCTCCTCCACGCCACGGTTTTAATAAAAGCCACTCCGGCCGACTCTCGGCTGATCGGCCGATGACTAAGGAGTAGCACAACGCGAACTTGATTGATCGACTGATCATTCCCATGCCGAATTTAATGCGCGGCCTGAGACGTCTCTGTTCGTTTAAATTGTAGATTTATTTCAACGCCTTCCGATTTGGAAATATTTTAGTTGGGAACATTCACGAAAACGTTTCGCATTATATGCTCATCTTGATTTTTCACAAAATACATTTAACGTTTCGGTCGTTAGGATAGATAGCTTTTAAGCCCGATTTACATTGGTCAAGGACAGAGGCGCGTATTTTGTTGTCTGTTTTGCCAGCCACTGTACTAATTTGACATTTTGTACTAAGGCAAGTGACGCGTCGAGTGCCCCGCGGGGGGTGAACTTGTACCAAAAAAATAGAAAGCGATTCAGTTGGGTTGTTTGTTGCAAGGCAGCTTGCAAGCCAAGTTGCTACTACTGTCCGATGGTTTACACCAATGTACTTACTAACTAGCCGTGATAGCTCAGTGTTCGGGCGCTCGCCTTTAATTCAATATACTCGAGCAACCTGAGTTCGATCCCCGGTGCCGGCACCTTGACGTTTTTAACTTTAAGTGCTGACTTATCACGTGCTCCGCGGTGAAGTAAAACATCGTGAGGAAACCTGCATATTTTCGAAATAATAACAAAAAAATATATTTTTCGAAGATATGTGAAGTCCGCCAATCCGCAGTGGGGCCGCGTGGTGGACTATGCCCTGATACCCTCTGTATAGAGAAGGCCTTTGCCCAGCAGTGGGACATGTATAGGCTGTTACTTTACTTTTTTACTTACTAACTATACGTATCTACTTCACTAAACACTTCACCAGTGTAATTCGGCTGTAAGCCCGAAAGTTGTAGTAAACGCACAAACGCACACTGCTGTGTTATCTTGCAAGTCGCTTTTGTGTCATCCGGGATGGGACCTCCGGCGCGTCACAGGAAATCCCGGCATAATCGACGTGCAAAGGGGCGCTCGCCTTGCCTTTATGGCTCCGGGATTCCCTCCAGCGTTCATCATTGGGTTTCCCGGGCGTGAGTTCCACCCCAAGGACTACACGCCTGTCTACCGATTCGCGTGATAGTGGAACTCACTTCAACCCCTCCCCCCGTTATCAACCGTGAAATCGACCAATTTGCGCGCTTTAGCTGACATTAACCGGTTGCTTACACACAAATTATGATTCTAATTCATTCAACGCCGTGGCCCTGCGATGTTAATCGGCTTTACATGACGTTTTATTCTTGTAGCCTTTGATTTATCTTTGATTGTCATGTCAATCAGTACTTCCTACGTTTTGAGCTCCTTTTAATTTCGAGTTAAATTTAGCTACCTCTGCTGAATGGAAATTTCCAGCGAAAGTAATTCGTAGTCCATTTCATACTTTTAATTATTTTGCAACATTAAAGAATGGATGTGTCAAATTAAAGGTGCATTTAGACTAGCGATGTGCGCGAATTGGTTGATAAATCTCATTCCTTGTATCCAATGCCTTACTCACGCCTGAGCAACTTCAATTTGCATGTTATTAGAAGGTTCTGCGAATAGCTCCTTTAATCTAACTACCGGCTATTCATCACTTTCAGTTATTCTTTAGGCTTACCTTGGTAGATCATTCACTTGGCGTTGCCGGGCAACCCGCTCCAACCCAGTTAATTGCAATAAGTTTTAAATTGCTAAGAAATATTCTTAGTTATGCAGTCTGCTAGCAGTGTCACGTAACGATGTCCTAGCGTCTTATCTACAGACGAGGCCTTTGTCCAGCACTGCCGCACATTGTACTAACGATGCGACGTCGTCCATGTCTCTCTGATCTTCAACGATTACCTTCCTCGATTCCCTCGTGCTTTGGGGGTCGTATTCTCCGCCCGGCGCTCGGAGCGTGGGGGCCCGTCGGCCGCTCTAAGTGTTCCGCTGTATCGGCCGGCCGCTGATAACGCGCGTATCCATTAGCGTTATCTCGGCGCTATCAGGCGCCGGCGCCGCTCGGGCGACCGCGCCGGGACCTTTGGGACCCGCGTACCCTCAACTTGCATACTCAGAGCGCTGAACCTGTAACGTGTTTCACGCTCCGTCGTACAGTTCACAGTAATGGGCCCATTGCCTAGTTTCTATCGCTTGTTTATTATCGTTCCCGTGTTATAACGTAACTGTAACAAGTGAGGTGACTGGAGAGAAACCTTTTAAAGGTCGCCAACACACCTGCAATTTGTGTTCCATCTATACAGATAAATAAAATTGGAGTGTCTGTTTGTAATATTAAAACAACCCCTTTTTTGTAAATGCTTTTTTGTAAATACATATACCAAAATACGTTTTTTATAATTTTTGTCTGTCTGTCTGTTTGTTCCGGCTAATCTCTGAAACGACTGTACTGATTTTGACGGGACTTTCAATGGCAGATAGCTGATGTAATAAAGAGTAACTTGGGCTACTTTTATTTTAGATTTTTTTTTTAATTCAACGCGGGTGAAGTAGCGGGCAGAGCTAGTATTTATTATATATAAAATGGACAGTGGCTATCAAGTACCATAAGGTGAAAACGGGTTTGTAATAATATTTCCATTGATACAAAAAATATCATAGGTTCAAAAAGGTCGTAAAGATTGATGATTAACTAATTGGCAGAATTCTGTTTACGGATAGTTGATTTAGTTGCGTAGGTTGAGTCTCATACTCTACGTGCATAAATCAAAATGCCCTTCCAAAAAGGTGCTTGTCCATGCTAAGTCAATAATAAAAAAACATCCATGTTGGACTTACTAAAACATTCATGTTTGTTTCGTCCGTTGTGTAGTCTTCACTTTGTTGGGCGTTGACTCTTCGATAAATGGATTAGGGCTTCTTCAAGATACCTATTTTTATAAGTCGATATACTCGCATCTCTGAAATGTATCGTTCGCCTAATCGTAGTTATATACAGACGTATGTACGTTTCTAAAGCCACGGCTATATTAAGCACGTTATCGCGTAATCGGTTATATCAGAGATAATCCGTTTAACGGCTACTTGTTAGCACTCCAGGCGAGAGCCACATGTCTGTCAACTCTGAAGGTTGTCGACGAGGACGTTATGGAAAAATCTGTTTACTTTAATATCCCTTGGTAAGGCACCTTCCGTTATCTTCACCTTAAGTGCTCTACCCTAATGTCTCCGAGACCCGAAAGTGCCAATGTGGCCATCGCCGTGTTAAATGGACCCCCGATAACAGACACCATTTGAACTTGAAACCGAAAATCTAAATAATATATATGTATTGTAAGCCTGTTAGGCTTACAATACATATACACATAGCTATTGTGTTGCTAGCTTATAAATGATCAAAGATTTTTCTCTCCGCCGTAAACATAATGTTTCGCGACTCTAACCGGTTACACTTCTGCTTTTCGTCTAGTGACAGGTAGCCGGGGTGCATTTTATTAAAATATGGCAACGCATCTGCCACCCTACGGGTGTTGCAAATGTCCATGGGCGGCGGTTAGCACTTAACATCAGGTGAACAGCCATCTCGCTTGCTACCTTCTCACTTAATAAAAAGATGACATAAGCGGCCCATTGCCATGGGACAAATTTTCAATCCCTCGTACATCGTGTGTGAATTGTGCCCAATTGCCTCACGCGCGCACCCAATTGCGATCATTAAGGGCACGACCTTGTCACGGGACGGATTTAGTATTCGCCATGATGGAAGATTCGAGAATTGCCAACGGGAAGGCTTCCTTTGTAACCCCATGTCGATTTTACTAATGACTCGACGGACTCCTGTATGAACTTGTCGTTAGTTTAAAACGAGACCCTATTACTAAGAAACTGCTGCCTGTCTGTCTGTCCGTCCGCCCGTCTGTCACTAGGCTGTATCTCATCAACCGTGTTAGTTAGACATTTGAAATTTTCAAAGACGAAGTATTTCTGTTGCCGCTATAAAAGCGAACATTAAAAAACAGAATAAAATTAAAAACATTAACGGGGACTTCCATACAACAAACGT